AACTTTGAAATATTTATAATTTATATATTACTATAAAACAATTAAGCAATAATACTCTTATATTGTACCTATATACATAATATGGGTATTATTATATGACTCATTTATTGGTGTAAATTGTCACGTATTATACAGTAAACTACGAGTAAAAATTTGTCGTGAATTAAAATGTTTTAACGATGATTTATTCCTACTTTGTGGAATAATAACTGTTTAAGACTACATTTAATTTTAACTTTTAAAATAAGAGTTATATCACATATTATAATAAGTCCTAACTGTTGTATTCACTAACGTACCTACGCATAAAATAAATAACAAAGCATAATTCTTTTTACAGAACATACGGATGGCTGAGAAATAAACTGTTTAAAAAGAAAAAAAAAACAAAAAAATATAATATTTACTGATAAAAAAAAAAAAAAAAAAATTTTTATTCATCATTGTTATAGTTGTTCAGTTGAGCCGTGTAGCAAAGTGTCAACGATTCGGTCAAGGGCAGTATAGTCTGTGATATGTGGTTGCTGACACATGGTGCATAAAAAAATCACTTTATGAAACGGATTCATTTACTGTATAGGCACATAACAAGAGTATAGGAACGTTTTCAGAGTTTAAACATTTTCGAGTAATTTTTTTATACTTTAGTTAATTATTAATTTTCTTTTATACGCCAGTCATTTAATATAGTAGTTTTTAAATGTAAACCGGAAATTTACGATAGGAATGCAATGCACGTATCTTATTTGGTTTATACATATCTATATATGTATTAGTGTAATGAGAAATAATGATCATTTATTATACAGTATTATGGTAGTTATCTGAATTTTAATGATTATGATGTGTTATAACGTACAAATATCTGCATAGCATACTAATAGTATAATATTTCATATACGTTTACGATATTTAAATTTTTTATTTTTTGCAGAACAAATTAAAATAATATAATATTTACTGTATCTGTAATATGCACATTTACATCCTTATTACTGTTAATCCTTCATTATTAGTATGGTCCCATTCTAACTTCTCTCATGATAAAATCATTAGTTTTCATAGTAATTTTATTAGCCAAAAATCATACGTATTATCATAAATATTATGTATGTAAGTATATCCGTTTACGTATTACAACATAATATATAATGTGTATAACTTCATAAGTTTATTATCAAAATTTATAAGTGTGCATCGAGTATTCCATAGTACTGTAGGTACTTACATAATACGAGTATTATGACAGATATGTTATTGATACCTACTAATCAGTTGGTAAATAATTATTGACTTTGAATTAAACTGTCTTCATCGTAATCCATATTCTATTTTTTTTTAATTATATCTTTATAATATCTCACAAATACCATTATATTATGTACCTGTATAGTATACATAATTTTGAGTCAAGTAACATCCGGCATAAACACTCATCAAATAAAATATAAAACATCATTTTTCCGGCCAACTGTATTTTATATTCATGAATCATACGAAATGTGTCATTACATAGTAATGACAGTAGTGTTATTCTTGGACTAATTATACAACATAATGGAGCTGGTCGAATACAATCCCAACAAAATTTAGTATTTACGTAGAAAGCATGTACAAGTAACGGTAAATAGAAACAATTAAACGAATACAACAATAATTCATAACTTATATTTTTTTCAACAAGGTTAGATGACAATTTCATACAGGAATAATTTAATTGGTGTGTTTTTTTAAATTTAAAGTTGTTTTGCATTTCACAATTTTTCTCGCATTTTAAAAACAATTAAAAAGAAGCTGTTCAAATACTAAATAATTTCAATTAATATATTACTAAAAGTAATAAAAATAATATACATTTTATCTTCTTCGTTGACTATATTATTATGTATTATTATTTTTTAGTTGTACTCATAGACTCAGATGGTACAGTATTTATTTTAAATATTTAAAATATGAAGTTTTGACAGTATATATTAATATTTCTAATGTAAAATATCAATGTATACTTTTATAATTATGTAATAACAATCGAGTTTAAATGTTACTTAGTGGTAAAACACAGAAAACTAAAAAATTTTATAAAATACATAAAGTATGATTATTGGGATCCCGTAATTATGGATAAAGTTGAAAATTTAAATTGATGAGCATTAAATTATAATACTAGGTAATAGGTACATATATACGCCTAGTATTTCGCTTAGTCTTATAAGGAAAAAAAATTAAATAAAGAACAACTCTTTTAAGAATACTTGATTATGCAAATAATAGTTCTTAAAAAACATATTTTATAAATATTTTCCGTTTTCAGATTGAATATTTGAATGTATTTATAAAAAAAATACGAATTTGTTTAACTACTCGACTGCTAAAAGGCCAACGTACCATAACGACTTTCATGAGTATTGTCAATCCAATTGATTTAAAAATAATTACAATGAATTCAGGTCGAAATATATTTGAAAACAAAATAAGTGAAACTCGCTTTGAAGTCTTATTTCCTGCAATATTCAAAACGATCGCGACCATATTTGTTTGATCGCTAATTGTATTATTCACGAAATGCGAAATTGATGCCTGAAGTTTTTTGTTCCGATTATGGTGTTACCCTTTATACAAATTTGGATAGCAACGTATATGTCATATTATTATAACACACAAAGACAAAGTAACAAATGGACAATGCATAATAATAAAACAAATTCCTGCAATTAAAAGATCATGTTCAAGGATTTACAACATGGGCGTTAACAAAAATATGATACATCTTAGCAACTGCTTTTATATTGTTTATCGAATGAGATGTATCGGTAATATTGTCTTTAATTACTTACGTCATATACTAACATGTTTTGTGAAGTAGGTGACATTGTTACTTAAGTTTTAATATAAATTTGAGATTTTTTTCCAAAAAAGTTAGTTTTACCATTCATTTCATAATGTATAATATATATATTATAAAATCATTAAAATCAATACAAATAGGCACACAACACAATGATAATAGTTCTAAAAATTTTATAAATAATATATTATAAAAATTTAAGAATTCTAATTTCTAATATCCATTATTGTTTCTCAAATTACAAATATAATAGAAAGCATGACTCTGAAAGTGAAACAATTGAAAACCTTGTTTTATAAGAGTATAAGATATGGATATTTTAGAAATTATATAAATTAGTACATGTTATGTTACTGTTATTTGTTTTAAAAAGTTGATTAATTAATTTATTAATCAGAGGCGTATACGTATTATGTATAACATCCTATACAATGTTAGTAAAATGATTAAAATAGTAAAAATGAAAGAAAATATTACTCTGTTTTAATTTATCGTTATAACTATGACTATCAGCATGCTCATATTCACGGATGGTTGCATATTCCCAACATCCAATTACAGACTACTGTAACTACACTATACATATTTTTTCTCCAGCAAAAGATAAAACGGGATCCTCTAGTGGTCCACCACATTGTTGAACACGTGCAACCCGCTTAGCCTATTTTTAAAATATTTAAATCATGCACGTATGGTGTACTTATTCACTAAAACTCAAAGAAATAGTATGTTTCCTTTAAAAAAAAAAATAAATATTATTAATAGACACATATGCACCACATATCTACGTGTTACAAAAATTGTCCATAAGAGACATTATTTAAATTTTAATTTGTACTTGTATTATGTCTTGGGACGTTTGTTACTTAAAAATAATAATATTACATTTATGGTTTATATAAATATGTGTTTTTTTTACAAAATAACCGTTTAGTTCACATTGCGCAATAATAATGTTATAGATCATCGTCTAATCGATATACAATGCACGTAATTTATGTAAATTTTGTATGTAAACATTAAATAAATATACATTATAAATTACTAATACCAATACAATTCATAAAACCAAACTACATAAATATCTGTTATTTGTAAATAATATTTAACGTCAATTTGGATGTTGTGGACAGGAAGTTTTTTTATGTGTTGTTATCCATAGCTAAAATTATCTATATTGACTTCACGATAAGGCAAACATGATATATTGGTGTTTAATGTTGTTTCAGTAATTTATGTGTTTGTTATTCTGTATAATATTTAATCATCATTGAAAAACTGATTTTATATAAATAGGAATCAAGCATTACATAATAATAATTAACTTGATAAATTTAGTCTTTCAAAAATGAATAAATCTAATACAGTTAACAAAAATCAAATTTAAAAAGTACAAAATAACATAAGCCACAGTAATACTTAGTATACAAATTTATAATTTTACTATTTACTAACAATTAACTGTAAAGAATTTAAGTCAATAATATTTCTGATCATAATTACTAAATATTGATCAATTATTTAGCTTTCCTTTTGTATAATTTTAATTTTTAATTTGTATATTGCATAAAATTTGTTTTTATTTATACTTTTATTTTAATTCTTTAAATAATTATCAATTATTCGCATATAAATTTATGAAGAAACATAATTATAATTTCTTATTATACCTAGCTTAACCATGCACTGTACTTTACAGTATTAACTGAGCAATAGTTTTTATTATGTTCATAAATTTAATCATAACATACCTAAATCGTAACATGTTTACTAGAATGAATGGTCACTGGTTTTTTTTTTTTTTTAATCTACATGTTTTTGAAAATCTACTATAAATTCATTAGTTACGGATTGACAAGTTGATACCTAAATCAGTTTTATTGAAAATCATACCTTAGTAGGTAAAATATCAAAATTATTATTTGAAAATAAGGTGATTTTGAAATCTATACATTTAATGTGAACTTTATTAATAAATAATAATAGATACATTTTTTTTTCGTTTGATACCTATTTAAATTTATACGACAAAATTAAATTAATAGGAAGACACCGAAACGCTGATAATTTTCATCAACAACTAACTTGCACATTATAAATTATTATAAATGATAATGTATATCTTTATGTATTGAAATAGTAATTTAAATTTTACCTCCGTTGTGGCCAAATTCTGAATTGGTATACTTATATACGAATACAGTTTTAAAAACAACACATAGCATTCGAAAAATTAAAAACGATAGCTATGCAGTTTATGTGCTCGGCGGTTATATTCATCTGTACAGCGTCATCGTCGCACTTAAATGGAAACGAAACTCGTTTAAATATTTTAGGTGACTTAACGCGACTTAACTACCACGCGCAGCACACAACGACGTCTACAGGTCAACGTCTAAAGTCTGACTAATCACGACTGCACGAGTTTTAGTTACAACAATGTGCTGTCCACACGAACGAAGCCACCGATTACACCACCACCAATAGGAGTATGCTGGTTGCTGAACACGGCCTGGCCATTTACCATCACTCCGTTTCAACTGTATACATACAGGGTGATTGCTTTAAAGTAAGTAGTTTATTATTTGGAAAACTATTGATATTTTTGGAAATATTTTTTCACACAATTTTAAGTCATTGCAAAATAACATTTTTAGAGAAAAATTCTTATTTTTTTTAATGAAAAAAATACATTTATTAAATTTCATACCCTGAAGTAATTATAACTTATTAAAAAATCGTTTGAAATTCGATCTTTATGTATTAAAATTCAGAAAGCTATCTACTACGGAATATAAAATTAAAAATATGTGTTATCTTTTAAAAATTTAACGATAAGAAATAATAAAAGTAAAAACATTATTTAATTTTTTTTACATTATGCTTTTAAATTACGTAAAACGTAATTATTAAAAAAAATTTGAAGTAATAATTGTTGATTATGGTGTAAGATATTATGGGCTACAACTCACCATTCATAAGAGCCATTTTAAAATTTGTTAATCAAAATACTGAGTATCGTCTATGAAAAACTTAGAAAAAATGTTATGCTTGAAATAGCATTTTCAATTTTTCCAATAATTTTTTTAAAATAGAATTTCTTTAAAAATCAATTTTTTTTAATGTTTTTATTGATACGCTCTTATTGCTTTGAGTAGGTACAGGACGTATACCCACATTTTTTTCAATACTCATTTTGATATGAGACATTTATTATAATAATTTTTATTCAACATATTATATACTTATACATTGTATTACACATTTACACCATACATTATAATACAATTTAAAAAAAAAACAAAACAGAATCTTCAATTAAATTAAAAGCAAACAATATAATAATGTCCAAAATATCCAAAATATTAAATAATTTTAAATAACAATATACTGTTTATCAGTTATTCAATGCTTAAATATTTATAACTATACAAAAGATCCATATTGCTTTAAATACATATGTTATTTTATTTATTTTATAATGACTATATTCAATTTATTGCAATGTTTTTTCTCGAATACTCTTTAGACTTCAATATAGCCATATAGTTATATTATACGGTCTCAACTAGTGCGATAAATTTATTACTCGATGTATCATAATATTATCACTAAAATACAATAATAGTACTACCTATAATATACTCGTATTATATAGTGGCATAATATCACTGAAAAGAAAAAAATTATATGAAAATATGGCCATATTATAAAAATAACCAAAATATTAAAATTCAATTTTTTTTTTTCTTTTTAGGCTTTACAACTTAATTATAAAAATAATATTTCTTTATTTTGAAACCACAATCAAAACAAACAGTTTAAAAACAAATCATTATAATATAATATTCATATTAGAATGATGAACTATTTCTATAATATTAAAGGATTTATTTCCAATAAGTAATATTATATTTATATTATCTCAAATTAATATTATATTTTTATCTTATAATATAACTACAAATATGGTGGTATTTACAACTGTATAATTATTGAACATATACTTAAACTACTAAAGTAAAAGTATTACATGTTTTTTAAAAATTTGATTAAATTCTTGACTTTAAGAGTTTTGCAAATATTATTAATACACATATTATACGATGAAAATAAAAATAAAATATAAATTATTAATTTCTATAATAATAAGTTTTTTTAAGCATTTTGTAGTTATTATAAATATTTGTGTTTTTGATACGAATGGAACTGAAATTCTACATAATATCATACAATATTATTATAGAGACCGAAATTACTTGTGATTTCGTGTTCAATGTTCATATTATTTAACTAATATTTGAGTGTATCAACACTTACGCACATAACGATGAAGGTTTGAAAATAATATGTCGACATTTAAATTATTTCTTATCCAACAGATTTTATAAAAATTTTATTTTCTAAATAAATAAGTATGCGTATTTGGATTTTTTATTGATCATAAGCCCGTAACGGCCGTAACTATAGAGCATTAACTGTGAGATGAAGGTACAACAATATAGGTTTTTTTGAGTTTCTTTTTAGGGTTTGTAGGGTTATAGAACACGTGTTTGGTTAAATATTTTATGCACGCTTAGAAAACATTTTCTATAGGTACTTTACACCCTAGTTAGTAAATGAATTATCTAATTTCTTACATTATAAATATCTATTTATGTAATTTTATTATTTACAGTAAAAATTCAATGGTGATATTTACAAACTTTTAATATTTATTTGGCAAACAAAAATATTAAAAATCTATTTCTTTAAATTATGTAGAAATTTTATACTTATATTATGATACTTTAATATATTTATTATTTAGTACATTTTAAATATAAACACTGAACAATTATTAAAATAAATTAAAAGATAAAAACGAATAATGGTTATTTATTCCGAGCATGACGAGTGAAGTATATATTTATTAACTACATCACGTGTAACTTCAAGTTATCAAAGTATTTAGTTGATAAATTATAATATTTATTTATTATTATTTAATTTGATAATAAAAATTGATAAAATAATACATAACATTAATTATTATTATATTAGCACATATTTTGACAAAATTGATATAAACATCACATTTAATACATTTTTAGTGCATATATTAATTAAACCAATCTTTAATTAATATTGTCTTATATCTAAATCCTATTATTATTTAAAATCAGCGTGATCTTCACTAATTATTGTAAAAGATTTTAATTCAAGCCTAGTCAAATTGGACCTGTATATATAGTCAATATATAGTACGAGAAAGCGTAATGCAGGAAATATTATACGAGCTATTTATATACATATATTTATATATATATATATGTATTATAAGTTTAACAGTCAGAATGAAAAAGATTTCAAGGCTACTATCTGTGGGGGGCCACTATCCCTATATACAATATGCTGTCGTGCATTTTTAATTTTTATTGGCAATAAATTGTAATGACTTTTTATTTTGTCGGGAATTTATTTTTTATGCAGACATGTTTTAGAATTCTTTCTTTTTAACTTTTAAGAACTAACGATTTTTTATGATTGACCCCATACTTATAATACATAAATATATTGTCGATAATATTAAGTTAATTTTACTCGGCGCAATGATATAAAATAATTTTTAATTTGTGATTATTTTTTATTGTACACAGATTCGAACTAGCTATATCTTACGCAGTGTATTCAGACAAGAATTTTTAATTTAAACTCATTATACGAAAATAATTATTGTTTTTTTTTTTTTTTGTTTTATAAACATTTATACAATTAAAATTATTAATTAATATCTTAAATGTATGTTCTGTGCACAAGGCTATTTCTTGAATTATTTTATTACTGAGAGAGGATGGGGTGGGTGATGTCTAAAAAGTGTTATAGTTATAGTCTATAAAATACATATAGATACAGAGTGGTTCATCGAGGCATCAAGCATGCAACCAAGCCCCCACCCCCCTTGAATTTTATCCTTATAAATAATAATTAATTTATTCAAATTTTGATTTTTAGAATTATTAACTTTACTTAAAGATCATTTAATTTTCATATTATAAATCGATGTTTACTTCATATCTATACAAAGTGATCCACCAAGCATACATAGTATTCATCTTCAATTTTTCCTTTAATAATGTAGGACAAAATATATAAAAGTATATTTAATAACTTAACAACTGTTAAAAGTTCAATTTAAATAGAAATATCATAATTTTAAAACAATTATATTTCTTTACTAACTTACCATAAAAAAGAAGGTTTTCATTTAAAAAATAGATATGTGTATAACTACATAAGTCAAGCCACTTATTAAATGATATAAAAATCTAAGCAAGTACCTATATTTTATAAAACTGTAAAATCTAAAAATCAAAACTTGAATAAATGCATTATTAAATAATATAATATAAGTGACCATGCTTAGTAAATCATACTTGGTAAATATGCTAGTTAACGGTTTTATACTCATAAAGTCATAAACCTTAAGTCCTAGGTACTAGAAAATAAAAATAAATATCAGAGAACTTTCTTCTGCTGTAAAATGAGTTTCCAATGTGTCTACCTTAACAGCAAGTATTCAAGTCGATCACTATAATGTGTGTTAAATTTGACTTCAATTTTATGCACGAAAAACTGCTCTGAGCAAAGAAGGTGAGTTGAATCTATTTCTAAGATTAAATACACACATATACGGAGATTAAAGTTGCTTGGGATGGCTAAGCCCCCCCCTCCAAAAAAAAAAAAAATCGAAAACCCCCTAAAGTTATTGAACATTTTTAAAAGTATTAAATAGATATTTTGCAACAATGCAATGAAAGATTTAAGCCCCCCATCCTAAAGTTCAATCAAATATCCGCCTACGAGTACCTACACATTATATTTATTTTACTATATTATATAGTATTTTAACAATTATGTAGGTTAAACAAACTTTTGCTAAAAACCTAGTCTAAGTGTATATTGTATATACATTTTTTTTATCAGCTTTTAATCAAAAGTTATTGTAGCTCAAAAGTTACTTGATAAAATATAAATAATTATATAGATGTTATATAAGTACATAATAGTATTGAAATATAATTTTGTGATATAATAGTAAAATTTGCAATTTTAATAGTTATACATATTTCATCAAAAAATAATTAGAACAATAGAACCGAACTAATAAAGTATACATAAAAATCTAATTTACCAATGGTATGATAATAATTATATTAAAAGACTGAAGTCTTAAATAAAATTATAATATACACTTATGGTATTTATTGTTTAATTGCTTATACAATACAATAGAGAGGACTAGCTAATAAAATTAGTTTAGAAAGACTGAAAGAAGTTTAGATTAAGGTGTATTATTTATAGAACTGTTACCTATTATTATTATTGTCAAGGGATTTTAATAATGTATTGGAGTGGAAACTAGGAAGTATTAAAAGTAACGGAGACATTATGATGGTTTAGACTGAAGAGCTTAAGGGTTGACTGTTAAAAAGGTTAATAAATTAATAAAAATAAATGACTATCAATATATTGCAATTAAAGCGTTGAATCAGTTAGTTTATGAAATAACAAGGTAATTTATAAAATAACTAAAAATTGTATAGAAATTGTAAAGAATAACTAGATATTCTATGAAATAACTAGTTAAAATACAATTGTCATGTATTATTTCATACTTTAACTAACATTCGTAGGTAATTTATGAACTGCCTAGTTATTTCATAAAATAACGGAATTCAACACTTTAGCTTTAACAGATATACGTTTAACCAAAATTTAATTTAGCAAGCGTGCCTCTTACAAAAAAGTTTTAAGTCTTAAGACAATATTTATAGCACACATAAATAAAAAGTTTTTTGAAAATTGGAGTTAGCAAACAACTATTAGTGTATCACAACCAATATTTTCAAAAAATTTACTAGCTCTAAACTACATATAAAAAAAATTTCATGAGTATGCTTGAAGAACTGTAGACTAACATATGGCTGTCAAAAAACAAAGAATAAGTGTTCCCTAACGTATATTACATTATTTAGTAGTAGTTATTATTTAAAATAATTTAGTATTTAATTACAGATAAAACCTTATTTAATCCTAAATCTTGTACAGGGTGAAACAAAATAATTAAAAAGTATGTCTTATTTTATAAATAACTAGGTACATATATACATAGTAACTTACAAAAAAATATAGGTTTAATAGGTATACACAAATGTCAATTCCACACAGAAAAATGCTCAATTTAATTTTTTTCGGAAAAAAAGTATGATTTAATTTGTCGTTATAAAACCTACAGTAATAGAAGGCAAGGTATATCGCTAAATTAATCAGTATTAGAAAGTAAGTTAATAAAGATAACAACATTTTATAAGTAGGGTTGGAATTTTTGTCAATAAATAAAGCTTATAACGAAATGAAATATTTAAAGATGGTTTAAACAAAAGAAGCTACAGTTGTTTTTGATAACTTTGATTCCGCATACATCAATATGGTATAAATAAAAAATTGGTAATAACTGATATAAAAATAAAGTTTAAAAACCATTATTTTCATTAGAAATATTGAACTTTGTGGGACTATGATTAACTGCCATAGGTACTAACCATTACTATTATCTGACAATATCTGCAAAACTTTGAACAACTATTTTACGCATCTTGATACGAGAATCCAATCATCTAGATTCTATAAATTAATAACTAAGATTTTCGAAGAGTTAGGAAAAAGATAGAACTAAAATAAAATTGTAATAAATAATAATTATATGAAGGAATTTCAGCACTAAAAATACGTAATTAGGCAACACAATGAACGTCATTAAAAAAAATATGTTTTATAAAAAGACGGAGTGCTCGATAATAAAATGTCAGTGGAAGAATTTATGAATACTGGTTATTGTAGTTGAAAATGAAATATAAATTATTCAAATTATTTTACATTATTTATAGTTTATATTATTTATAATAAATTATTTTTTAATATTATCGATTTTAAATTATTTTATATTAAATCTTTCATTATTTATATTATTAATAAATAATCAATAATTTTTTTTTACAAAAATGAAATCGAACATTTTTCCATTAAATAATTTTATAATTGAACTCTTTTCTGATTTCCATATAATATGCCATATAAGTATAAATAATACGTTTTGTATCATAGCTGGTACAGTTGGTACACACATGTGGCGTGCAATTTGCCTGGCCATTATATCGCGTGCTCTCGATAGGTATTAAAAAACGCGATCGGATTTACTTGATTTAAAATTAAACTCACAGAAAAAAGTGTAGAATCATAATTTGTTGAAAATCGCATCACCTGTATTTTCGTATTGAATAATTTTAGTATACAAATAATATTTTGAGCTATATATATCATGAAAATTTATACTCGCACATATTATAACCAAGCCGGATGGCACTCCTAAACCTCGGAGGGGTAGTGAATTTTTTTTTTATGATCAATTAGGATACCAAAACCTACTTTTATGCTAAGTTTAAAACTCTCCGATTCATTTAATCATTAACACTTCATTAACTGAACTATCCGACTATAGGTATGTAATAAGGATACCGTTTACCTGAACTATAATGTAGTTTAGCAGCTAGCATTGAGATGTAGAAAAATTACTTTTAAAGGCCTGTAACACGGTTTCAGATAAACCACGATCTAGAATAGTGGTTTTCAACCTTTTTAACAATGTAGCACTACAACATTTTTGCGGCACACCAATTCATATAACACGTGAAGCATATATTTTTATATATAATACACATATATAGGTATACAAAATTAACTCCATTGATAGATTTATCGCGGCACACCAGTGTGCCGCGACACATCAATTGAAAATCACTGATCTAGAAATATATACATCGTGAATTTGTAGAACATTGTTCAATGGATAAATTAAAATTTAGCCTTAAGTCTTATGTCTCTGACCTCTGTAACCAGGTGAGTAGAAAATAAATTTAATAAATTGCTTTAAAAGTTACGACACACGATATCACAGTAATGTACACGGCAACACTGCAATAGTGCATTCACGCTACGAGTTATACAATAGTATAATTTTATTACACTAGTTTTGTACTCTATGGAGTATACGGATAACCACCGATTATATTCCATTGATATTTTGTTGTGTCAAAAAGTGATACACTGATTTACCAAGATGATTTTTAGTCTTAACACAATATAATGAATAAACATAATGCTTCACTGACTACTATAGTCTATAACTGACTATATCGTCTAATTCGTCTATATCAATTACCAGTTATTTACTGTTACTCTTAAATTCATATTTGCCGATCTACAATTGTAATGGAGTTCATTAATTAAATTTTACAATAACATATAAACGGCATAGGAAATTTTGAAAAATAGTAAAAAAAACGATGTCAAAGTAGCAACAATTCATGTACTATAGGACATAAGGCTGAAGTATTCGGTAAGTAAATCATTTTCTGTTATTAATTGACTTTTCATATATACTGAAGTATTATAATCTATTATTATTGAATACTTCAATTATTTTTTATTTTATAATACAAACATTGAATTACCGACAAAAATAGTTTTGTTAAACCAGACTTAAAAGTACTGAATTGAACAAACTCGCCTTTCAAATGTTTTCAAAACAATTTTTAAATTTAAAGAACAATTAAATCAATGTTTGTATCATAAAAACTTAAATAAATTACAAATTGTCATCTACCTACATAATTTGTTTAAGACTTGTCAAGACGTAGTTACGGAGTATAAAATATATACAAATATGAATATTTTTCTTATTGTATGTCGGTCCGAACTAGAAGGTCTGATAAGCAATATTTTACAGTACAATTTTTTTGTAATAAAAAGTAATTATTTGGTCAAAAGATTATCACCAATAAGTTGTATGAATAGATTTTAGAATCTACTCTTCTGTACTATAGATACTGATAGTATGAAATTTGTTACTGTACATCTGTATCTATTAACAAAAAACTTATTAGTAGGCATATCAATTAGAAATGTTAAAAAGTATTAAGTTTAACTAAATCCTTACTAATTCTGTTTTGAAAATCAAAATTTGAATTACATTTGTAGACTTAATACTCAAAATTAGTTAAAGACTATTAGCATATAATATATGTGATTTGTTTAAAAATGTATGTAATATTTTTTTCTATATGTATATAAGTTAAAACTTAATAACATTAATTATATATTTTTTATAATAATAATTTACCCAGTTTATTTTGATCAGCGCTATTATAGTTGGCCGTCTAGATCAGTGATTCTCAACCTTTTTGTTGTAGCGGACCACCTAAATGTATTTTAAATAGGACTACAGACTATTTTGGATTTTGATTCAAAAATTAAAAAGTTATGCTTTAATTTTTAAGTTTTGTCTACAGAATAGTGTATTAAATTTAATAGAAAGTTAAAAGCATATATAAACATAAATAAAATATAACAATACCAGTGCATCAATTACAAAAAAAATAATAAATATACCTGAGAAGTATAATTTTTTCCAATATAACTTAGACCGGTTCCTTTTTTTTTATCGCGAACCAGCAATTGAGAACTGAACAGTTTATACTTATAATAAAAATATAACTTATTAGTAATTTGTATCATTTGAAAAAAAAATCATTCTTATTCATTTTCTCTTACCTTAATTTTTGTGAAAATTCTGCAGCTAGAATAACAATGTAAAAATAGACGAGTATAGTATTATTTTGTTTTAAATTTTAAATGCTGGTTTCAAAACTTAGTAGATAATAATAAATAAATAAATAATTTATTGATAATCGAATAAAGTATAGTATTTTTAAAACTGTAATGTAAACAATTTAAAATAGTTCAAATGATTTTTCAGAACATCAAAAACTTAATTAAAGAATATGTCACATGGTATAATAATTTCTTGTTAAATTTGGTAAACAATACCATTATACTATAACTATGTAGAATTATAAATTGAGTATTACTCTGTACTTATAATTTTACTCATCTATTTCAATTTTTCTTTACTTATTTTTATTTTATCATTCATATTTTATCAATAATAACTTTTTTTTTTATTATTAAAATTTTCATCCTAGTAAAAATATTTCTTGCAAGTAAAACATTGTTTTGTGTTAATTCATTAATTTTAATGTATACTTTTATTATAATTGTATTTTTATAAAAACAGATTATTATTAATTTATTTTTCATAATGAATGTAACATAATATTTTAATTACTATCTTGTATTGTATTATTTTGCAACATATCAATAACCTTTAAATTATAACAATACAAGTTTATGATAAATTAACATATTTAGCAAAGAAGTTTAATTACGAAGTTGGATATATTATGATGAATGATGACTAATATTTGGTTAATAAAATTTTTTATTTTTATAAATGTGTGATGTACTTGTAACAACATTTAATAATAATATATCACTTTATTTTTATTTTAGGAATTTCTTAAACAATAAGATTCTCAAAATTATTACTTTGAAATTGAAAAAAAATGTTGACTATAAATTCTAAGTCTCCAAGTGTTGAAAAAAAATTATCTCCTGTCATTGAAAAAAATGAAATTGATACATTATCTACCTCTGACAAAATAAAAATTACTCCATCAAAAATATTAAAGACAAATGATGATGGCAAAAGATCTGGATCAAAATCAAGTAAGTTGCATTAATTTGTAAAATAAAATACCTAAATTCCGTTATCACCATATCCAGACACCACTACATAGCTTATAAAATTTATTCAATTTTCTGAATTATATTATGATTTATTTTAAACTAATAATATTTATATTTGTTTCACTTTTAATCTTTATATTTTACTTTTCTATTTTAAATTATAATGATATTATATATGGCTATCATTTATTATGTTTAATATTTATGTACTCATTATAATACTATTATAATAATCTATGTTGGTTATACATATGAAATTAAAATTGTTTTTTAGAAACATGTGCACAACAGTTAAAAATTGAAATAGCAACTTCAAATCTATTTAAAAAAAATGAGATAAATCCTGAACAAGCAGATAGTAACAATATTGATTTAACTGATACTACTGAATTAGAATCCAAGAAAATTGATATTGCTACAAAAGAAAATTATGAAGACAAAGTTACTGTTTCTCTGATAAATTCCATACATATTGATAATAATATAGCAAAAATGGAAACTAATAAAATTAAACAAACTAAAAACTTAGATGATTTTGATATTGGTGCAAAATTTAAAATTGTTGAAAAAAGTACTATAATTCGCAACCATTTAGATGAAGAAAAAAATGAGAATATTATAATTGAAACAAAGGAAGTTGCACAAGTATCTAAAGAAGAGTCTAATATACAAGATGAAGAATTGGATCATGAAGTATATGTAGAATTAGACCATGAAGTCGATGAAGAAGAAATAATTCAAAGTAGTGTTGGTATTAATCAAACTTACAGTACAGTAGGTTTAATATATAACTTATCAAAGCTTACGCTAAGAATTTATAAAATTATCAATCATATTTTTATACAAATGTTTTGAAAATATTTGTTGCGACTTAACCACCAATATATCAGATACTTAAGCTTAATAATACTCTATAATATATATATAATGCAATTTATCACAGATTAAAATGCTTTTTTTCTAAAAACTTAACACTAACTTTGCTTTTGATGACTGATGCTTTGAGACTTTTAATTAAATACCACAAAGAACTCATTTATTAAAATAAATGTGTATTTTCAATATTTTCATATTGATAAAACAGTTATTAGCACTAGCTCTAATGAACTTATCCAATTAAAAATGTTATCAACTATTTAATTTTTACTTATTTTAGGTAAAATCAATTCAAGAACATAGTAAAGATGATAACAATGAAGACTCTATTAATTTGACAATCGAAGAAGATGATATTAAATTATTTGCTGATGAGGTAAATTAATGTTTAATTTTATTACTAATTAAGTGTACACATTTATATTATTATAAATATATTTTACCAATAATAATTAAAACAATTTAAAATTTATTTGAAGTTTAATTATTTAAATTCTTATTTAGTTATAAAAAAAAAAAGTAGTATAACCTGAATTCTATTATATAACATAAAAAAATTAATTAATACTTAAAAAATAAAATGTGTGTGATGTGGTCATTATAAGTGATTTTTTCTATAGCTTTATAACATTAATCATATTACATTTTACATAGTTGAAATAAAATAATATTATGTTTTAAATTTAAACAATATATTTTTATGCATCATGTATGAACATAAATTAATTCTACCGATTGTTTTTTTTTTTTTTTTCAGGAAGATACAGACATTGAAAAAGAGGGTAATAATAAAATTATTTAATTATTAAAATAAAATTTATAATTGTACTAATCTGTCGTCAAAAATTAAAAATATGCACACGAGTATGCACAGTATTGTTGTTGACGTTTTTTTTTTTAAAGGAGTATCAAGTAAAATATTGTATTGAATATTGATTTTTTAACTTTGTTTAATGTATATATATATAGGAATGTTAATTTACATTGTAGTTTTTAGATACACTATTTTGGCATTTGTCTATTTTTATAATTTATGAATGTATTGTTATATATCAACGGTGCAAATTTTGTACAATGAAAACTAGAAGATAAATATTAAATCAAGAAATAACTAATTTTATCAAATTTCTGATAAAGTTTTAACTAAAAGAAACCTGAAACCATTGAAGAAATATTCAGAAATCATCAGACATTCTGGACAACTATTTTACAAAATGTTGATACAATATTTAGTATTCAGTAGAAAAAGTTTCTTTCTTTAAATTATAATTTAATATTATTAAGTTATTTATAACTAAAAAATATAATTATTTAATAAAGAAATACTGGCATCTACAAGAAAAAAATCAATAATAGTAGCATTACTTAATTTTTTAAGTTAATTGCTTGATTAAAATTAAATTATATTTAGTACAAATTTACAGAAAATTGGGTTAATCTTTCTTAGCATAATTAATATGAAGTCAATATAATATATAGTTTATTAATTAAATGTTAAATTCATGCCCTAATTGTTCATATTGGTATTATTAAATTTAATATAGGCTCAAATTATGCTTAATGTGTTAATTATTAATACCATGGGTATTTTATGATTATGTATATTTCATTTGTGTGACGCAATATAGACGAAGTCATTGGGAACCAAACCAAAGAAGAAACATCATCGATCAAACATTGCCATCCAGTTACTAGTAGCAGATCGTCAACTGGATTGGACAAAAGCCGTTGCAGTGCAACTGAGAAGCGATTATCTGTTGGGGATAAACTACGCAGTACCCACAAAGAAGACAAGGATATCAGCAATGCAAAACCCATCATCAATGTTAGTGTTCCCAAAGATGAGAAAAATGAAGAGGAGAAACTAGTTAATGATAAACTGGAACTTGGCAATAATCAGAGGTTTGTTTTGAACATGGTCCTGACAACTGATTATTTATCCCTTCATTGGAATGTCGCGCCAAGGATCTGATATATGACTGCCAATTAAAAGTTTTTTTTTTTAAAAAAAAAAAAACAATATTTTCATACTTTTTTAGAACTGCTAAATTTGAACAAATACCCAATTTCAGTTACTGTGTTGGATGAATATATTTTACATACGTAAACAAATTTTTCAGTAAATAATAATTAGCATTTACCAACATGCATGTCTGTACTTTTGAAGATAATAAGTTTTTAATTTATGTGAATTAGAATTTTTAAACTTTGAGTAATAAATCGTGTGAAAATATATATTATATTTGAATTAAAATAGATATATGTGCCAATTTTAAATGGTAAACAATTTTAAAAAGATATAATTTTATATGAGTTGATTCATGAAGTATTGTGAAATCAATTTAGTATATCATAACATAAATTGTTAATAATAAAAGATATATTTTATAGTTAATATAAAAATATTCTTTTTTGAATTAAAGTATTCAAATTTAAATTTATCATGAAATAATTCATAATTTAAAATTTAAATAATAATTGACTTTGATATCTAGATTAAACTTGTATACCATAAATTGTCTTTGTCTTACACGTGCATAACATAAAAAAATCTTTATGTGAGATTTTTACTTCAGCTCATTTATAGTTTTTATTAAAGTATATTTAAATACTTTTGAATTTTTGTAAAGAATATAAGCTATGCTTAAGCTTTTAAGTAGTGTTTTTTTTTAAATATTATTTTACTATAATTTATTATTAGTTGAAATATTTTGATCTCGTATAACTCGTTTTAAAATAAACATATTATCTCACTCAAGCATAGTTGATATTCTCTGCTAAATATTCAGAAATTTGATCTAATATTTACTAATTATTAATTAATAAGGATCCGATACAGGGATTTATTATGTTAACATGTATAATACAAAGACAACACAATTTGTGAATATGTGAGTAAGACTTTCTCTTAAATAAGTGTATAATTCCAAACTAAATTAATGTTATGGGTTAGCTTAAGAAACTATATTGATTTTACAATACTACTATATATAATATATATTAGTTTAAAATCATAGCACTCTTATATTTATGTTCAAAAAAATGAAAAAACAAAATTCTCTGTCTATATTATTCACAAAAGAACCACTTGGATAGAAAATTGGTACATATATAGATTTAAGGATAGAGTGAATTCAAAATACTATATAATTTAAAAACAATTTAGTTTTTAAGAAAAGTTTTAAAAGTTGCTTAAAAATCTGAATTACTGCTTTTTTGTCTAGCATCTTAGTTTAGTCTGTATCAAAATTGCATGATGATATATAATTTATACATTAATGTTTGTATAAATATAATTTGAATTTTAAAATACCTAATGTACAATACAATATTTAAATTAATATTTGCAAATCTTTTGATATATAGTATAAAACTGATGAGTAATGATGATCATTTAAAATATTGATGGATATTTCCTGAAGAGAAAAGTCAATTAATAATACAAATTTACATACTGCAATTACAAGTTTAATAATTGAAAATATTTTTAATATTTCTATGCGGATAATAAGAAAACAGATCAATAAGTATAAGACACGGTATTTGAAATTCATTGCTGAATGAAATATCAGCTTATTAATGAATGTTGTTGATAAAAAATATTGATATTATACTTTTAGGATATGAAATGTAAATCAAAATATGTATTGTTATTATATGAAGTAAAGATGATATTGATTATTGAAACAATTTTGCAATATATTATTGTACTAAAATTGAGATTTACAAGAAAATATTGTCTGATGACAGTTAATAGAAATCAGTCAAAGATGAATTAAAAATTGGTTTTATACTAAGATGATAGTTAAGTCATCAATATCTAAGAACTTTGACACATAGAAGAGATTTTAATTTTGATTATTATATATAATCTATGTATTCTCAAATAAACATAAAAATATACTTCTAAAATTAAACATAATATTTCTTTTCAAGTTATTTGAGTGTTGAATGTATTTCTCATAATCAAGTATGAAATACTGTGAATAATTTTAAAAATATTCATTGTGTATATAATGACGACGATTAGATAATTATTACAATTTTACTTTGACATAGAAAATATATTATGTCTAAGTATGTATATTATAACCAGTAAAATATATTAATTATTCATTTTTGTTTAATTAATAACAGGTAACAAGTAATTATTTGATATGTCTATTTTTTATGTGTGAAAACAATTTATGTTGTAAATAAACATTTGTAAACACATTTTTTTTTTATTTGATTTTTTTCAGTGATAATTCAAAGGCTCATCTAATATCAAATGATACTTCTAAGTTTTTTAAATTTTAGTCATTTTAAAAATTAAATAATATTCTTTTTAGATTTTAAGTCATTAAGCTATTGATTTTGTATTAACATATTATTGTCTTACATATTATTTTACTAACACTTTTTTTTATAAAAACTGTTATAACTCGTGATGCTTTTAGTAAATTTAATATTGAATACAGATTGAAATATAAAGAACTTAAATAGTGTAATCTATTATGTGAATACAACTTCCTACAATCATGGAACCATGTTTCGTGCTTATAATATTCATATAAGTATACTCAGAAATTTTTTCCAAATACAGTCAAATTCTCATTTACAATGATACTCCTAATAATATAATAATTCTTCCTAATGTATTTGGTTGGTTTTCTATTTCATGTGCATTTATTTTGTTCAAACATAACCACAATTAGTTACTAAAATAAATTGGAGATTTAAATATCATTTTGAGTAAAACTAGTCCTTGTATTTGTCCATTAAAATCTCATGATTTATCGTGAATTTTTTCCAAATGAACTATAGCTCTTATTACATTTAAACACTATATATTCTTCGTAATAATCATAATTATGTTATAAACTTCACATAATTTTTTTATAATATATAATATGTATGTCAAGTAAATTAATTTATGGATTTCAAAATACATTTTTTTTATTTATAAATCCGGATAGTTTAAATAAAATAATCTGATTTTCCAAATCCTTTATATATAATAATATTATAAGAAAATTCTTAACTCTGTACAATATATTAATCATTAAACATGTATTTGTGTTAGGCATATTTTAAAAAATTTATCAAGAATATGTAGTATAAAATATTAAATTATTTTGAAATCGATGTTTAAAAACTAGTTCAATTTCTCACAGTTAAACTAAATTAATGTAATTTTTTTAAATTGCACTTAACACATGTGTACGCTCTTAATAAACAATTTATTATAGCTTTATTTAAATTAAAGATACTTAATTGTCCTAAACAATTCCATCGTTATACATCACCATTTATTCACTTTTTAAAATTTGTTTTAGCAAAAAAAAAACAATTCATCTTTGGTTCGCAACATTTGGGTTAGTGGTTTGTCATCAATTACTAAGGCCACTGATTTAAAACAACTTTTTTCAAAATATGGAAAGGTAATTTTACTGATTACTAATATTAAAAATAATTGATCTATGAATTGTTTCACCAAATTTGCTTTAAGTCTTCAAATATAAAAAAATAAATATTAATTTAATTATTATGATTCATTGTTCTCTGATTTATATTTTAATAAAAAATCAGTTTATAACCAGATGTTACGATTACTCATTAGATTCAATTTATCATGAATTATTCTAATTTTATCATATTTAGTGCTTATTTTGTTATTCATTATTTTTTTATAAATACTATTTTAGAGAGTTTGCTTGAATTTTTTTAAAAATCTTATAAAATCCTAATTAATATTTTAATTGATCAAAAAAATTTTAAATTTATTTTTATGATGAACACAAAATGAATATTCTTTCATTAATTTCATATTTTTTCTCAAAACAAACAAATTTGTATTTATTTTATAAAATCTTAAATATAGTATGATCTACATTTATGAACATTTCTTAATCATATACTATAATGAAATGTGTCTATAATGGACACTCACTGTATCATCAAAAGGGTCCTTTATGAATGGGTGTCTGATTTTTTTATAGTCAAATTTATATGTATATAATAAGCTCTAATACTTTACATTTATTGTAAAATGTTTCCAAAATATGGCTTATTAAATATTATTAAGTACAGATTAAATAAATAGTATCAGTTAATGATAAATACATATACTTATAATTTTTTTCTTGATAAAAATTTAAAATAAAATTTGCTTTTTAAATTTAAATTTACTCCATTTAGTTAACTGGGAAGGAATATTACTGCCGGTGTCTGTAATAGCAAGTGTACAATTTAAATATTATAAAATACCTATTTTTTGCTGATATTTTATCATTTTATCTGCTGATAGAGGTGTCTATTATATATATAGGTTTCAATAGTTTAATCACTAATTGACTAAATATTTAATAATAATTTTTTTGTAGGTGGTTGGTGCAAAAGTTGTGACAAATGCCAAAACTCCAGGAGCTCGTTGTTATGGTTTTGTTACATTATCCTCAGCAGAAGATGCTAATCGTAGTATTGAAAATTTACATAAGACTGAACTTCATGGACGTGTTATTAGTGTTGAACGAGTTTGTATTTACAATTTGTTTCCTAGTTAAATAGTTCAGTGTGCAATAATATCATTGATAATATTGAATAGGCTAAACGTGATAATAGTTATCAAGTGACTGCAAACAGTTCTGATTCATCTAAAGTAAATGAAAATTTTAAAAATGATCAAAAAATAAAAAAAAATGAGGAAAAAAAGAATAAACCAGAAGAAAAAAGGGAAAAAAGACCAGAAATTACAATTAATGATGTTAAAAAATCAAACTTGTCAACTAATAAACGATGTTAGTCTTCTAGATTCTTTTAATTTGATAATGTTTTTGTTTCTATTAATTTAAATAATATTTTTATACTTTTATTTAGCATCAAAAGATCGACATCAAGATCCAAAACGCTCTAAAATTATGATTGAAAGTGATGAACAAAGAAAAGACAAAAGCATCAAAAGTAAAAGCAGTGAACGTGATAAAGAAAGACTTAAAGAATTAGAACGAGAGAGAGAACGTTTAGAAAGAGAGAGAAGAAAACAGCAGGAGATACTAAACTTAACAAAAATGAAAGTAAGCTCATTTTTTATTTATAATTATGATAAACAATATTAAACAACACATTAATCTTTCATGATGCGCTTTTTTTTTATTTCATTTTTTGTTATCTAAGAATGAACGTGAAAAACAAAGGCAAAGAGAATATGAGAGAGCAATGAGAGAAGAAGAACGTAGAAGACGCATAGAAAAAGAGCGCCAATTAGAGATTGAAAGAAAACAAAAGGAAGAGGCAATTCGCTTAGAAAAGTTGGTATTTTAAATACTAAAAAAAAAAATTAATATTAGAGATATTATTATTTTTTATTTATTTAATTAGAGAAAGACATAAACTTCGAATTGAACGTGAACGAATTGAAAAAGAAAAATCTGAATTATTGCGTTTAGAACGTGAAAATCAACGTATAGAACGAGAAAGATTACAAAGAGAAAAAGAAGAGTTACGTAGAGCACAAGCAAAACTTGAAGAAACAAAGCGTCAAGCATTACTCAAACGTTCTGCTATTCCTCAATCTTCTCCAATTCCTAGTAAAAGACATTCTTCATCAAATTTGTCTCGATATGAAGAAAGGTACATAGTACATATCTTCTAAATGTATATGTTATTAGTTTATTACATAACTTGATTTTTGATCTACCACTATCATTTATTTTTAATTTGATTTGTCCACAGAAAAGAATCAATTCGTAATTCTCGTATCCAGTCAAATTCAGACTATGTGAACCAAGCACCTCCACCTCCTAATATAACAACATCTAGACATCGTTATGAACAACGTTCATCAGATGCCCGTCGTATGAGGCCATCATCACCACCACCTCCACCACCTGCATCAAGACCCAAAGATTCTACCGTGAATATCAGGTAATATTTGTATACTAGTATGTAGAAAAATATATTTATTTCAAAATTCTTATTTCTATTACTATAGTAAATGATGATTACAGTTTATAAGAATTTTGTAAAATAAAATTCAGCCATTAGACAGCTAGATATTTCAATGATAATTGTCTCAGTTTGTACAGGCAATGATACAGTTTTTAATATAGCCAAAAATTATTCCATTTTACTTATTTATATAATTCAAAGTTCTTGTATATTACTATAAATATATCTAATATTTATAGTATTTTTGAACTTAATATGATAAAATTTAACTATTGGTAGCTAAACAATTATTTTGTAAACAATAACAGCTTTTTTAATTATTTTTTTTATAAATTAAATCAATTATTCAAAAATATTTATTGCTATTTAATGGTAGATATAATACTCAACTAGCAACAGATCAACATTACAAAAATCGTGATGACCGATCAAACCGAAGAAATAATTCCCGTAGAAAAGACTCAAATAATGGAAGTAGTAACAGACATGCGAATACTACATATGATTCAAACAAAAGTTGTAAGTTGTTAAATCAATTAATAATTTATTATTGTTTTTGTAACACTTTTTATTTTAGCCTATGGAATGTCCCGTACCAACGAAAGTAGTACTTGGTCATCACCAGTCCCAGTAAAGAGTACTTATGGTACACTTGGCGCAAGCCCTGGATCTAATAATATGGCGGGAAATATGAGACCAGATCCATGGACACATTCTAATTTTCAGGATATGGATCCAAATATTTGGCAACGTACAACTCAACCACCTCCATCCGACAAGTATATTTTTCAGTCTTTCAATTATTTATTTTAGTAGGTTATTTCAAAAAAAAAAAAAAAAAATGTTGAATTTGATGTTGCGTAGGTGGAACAGTTTACCATCGAGCAATCCTCCATCTGTTCAAATAAGCGGACGTAGTTCTAGTAGTAATACTTTGTATAGTAACAATAATGAAGTTTTACCAAACGTGGGATTAAACATGTCAACAAACTTCACTGATACTAGATTTGACAGTTACAAAATGAGTGGCATGTCACACAAATATTGAACAGTCAAATACCTAGCAGATAATCAGAGCACAAAACATTCCTTTGTTTTTGTGCTAGTCAATTTTTTCTAACAGTGATTAAAGGAATACGTTTCTTAATTTGTTCTATTTTTATTTTTTAATTAAAGGTTATTTAATAATTTCTTTGCACTTTTCATATGTGTTAGTTATTCAATTATAAAAATGATTTGATTTTTAGTTGAATGTAATTTTAAGGATTTTTTTTTTTCGTATTATAGTTATTTACTCTTGTATACAATTTCTCAAATTCTATATTACACAATACATTTAAACATCAATGATTAATCTATTTATTATTTTAATTTTTTTCTTTTATCTAGAAAATGTCAAAATTACAAATGATAATTAATCATTGAAATGTTTAACCCTATGAAATTTTGTTCGCTTTTAATGATAATACTTCAGGATGGTTTTGTATTACTTTAATCAACTGGTCTTCAATAAATACGGCGGGTATTTGTGAACCTTAAAATAATTAAGTGTTATTTGTTTTATACATTACATTACATAAGTTGTAAACCTATACTATAATTACAGTACAAAATGACAAAATGTAAATTTTTAATTATTTAATAAAACTTAAACATTAATCATATAATTATTATTTTATTTTATTTATAACCTTAAGAGTTAAATGTATATTATTATGTATTACATATACCACAGTTAGGTAGTATACTAAATTACAATAATGGCATGGCAAATCCTTAATTGAATTGAAAAATTATTTACATGAATAAATTTAGCAGCGATAATTTATGAAAAATACACTAACCCCGTGCATTAGTTTGAGCCAAATAATAAGTTTCAAAATATAAAGGTGAGAAAATAATAATTGAGTTAAATTTAATTATTTATACAAACATTTTTTTTATTACTTTTTAGTTAGTTGGTTCTGGGTCAAGATAAAACTAATATAGAAAAAATTATATTCTATTATTTAATTTACACTATTTATATACATATGTGTAATTTGTTTCCCTGTCGCTTAAAGTTTAATTTTTTTACTTAGAGAAACTTAACAAAAAATCATGGTTAAAATATGTTGCATGTGTACCACTTAGTTTCACAACTTGTTACTGAATAGTATTATTTGTAATTCACAAAAACAATGAATTTAATATTAAAATATAAATACTACACAATATTTTACAATAAATTAAAAATTTAAAAATTATATAACATGAGTGATTCTAAGTTTTTACTGTAAAATAACATTTAATACTTGCGATTTTATTTATGAAATTAGCCAATATAGATAATATTATACAATGTTGAAAGTGATGTACTATTATTAATTCTATGATAACAAAAAATGAAAAATATAAATGTAAATCATATGCATGAAAGTCTTGATAACTAAACATTTGGTTTATTTAATTTCCATTAGATAATACAAAACTATTTTTAAACGCACAATTGACTAGTAATAAAGTAACGTTTACTAAACTCTTAAGATATATTATCAGTTCTTATAATTTATATATTAAAATTGCAGTTCAACTTCAATTAATATTTTTTTTATAATGGAACATACTGTTGCATGAAAATTTTTGGGAGATCTGGTCCATAATAAAGTTTTGTATTATTTCCTAATGATTCTATGCGTTTAAATTCTAAATATTCTTTAGTTAATAATAACTTATTAGAATCGGCTTGCATTTTAATACGGTAGAATTCAGCATCTGCTGCACTCTTTTCCTTATCCAAATGAATTGTATCTAAATTATATAAATAATTATATTAGAATTTAAGTACATTCAAACAAATAGTTTAAATATTTATACCTTCTATTACAGATATTTGTTTTATAGATTCTTTTTCCATGATTTTCTGTTCAAATTCAATTTTTGATACTTGTGCTTGTTTTTCAGCTTCTATAATAGCACGTTTACGTTCTGTTTCTGCTTCTTTTTCAACGACTTTTTGTCTTTGTTCAGCAATGAGTAGTTTAGTTTTTTCTGCTTCCCTAGAGAAACAATTATACATAACTTAATATAACCAATAGTAATTAAAATGTTTTAAATTGATTTCATTACATGATTTCATAGTTTTTGCGTATGGTCTCAGGTATTTTAGGTTTAGTGACACGTACAGCATGCACTTTCAGTCCAGGGGCCATTTCTGTTAAGTCTTTTTGCAATGCCACTTTAAGATTTTCATCAATTTGATCAAATAGATCTATGTATACCTATAAAAATAAAAAATATATTGTAAACTTAAGAATTATTCTATAGTATTCACATAAATTATATAAATCAACATTTACTTCATGTAAATTATGAACACTACAGAACTGATTAAGTTCATGATGTACTTTATTGAATATTAATGTTTTGTCGTAATCAGCAGTATAGTTCTTAACAATATCAAAAACTAGAACAAATAAAATAATAGTTTTAAATGTTAAAACAGATCAAAAATAAGTTTATATCTGTTTAAAAATTGTTATTTTTAATAAACAATTAAAAATACCTAGTAATTTCAAATTCAATTATTTTAAAACATTATTGTAATACCTATTATTTTTAAATTAGATTAAAGCAGAGCAAAGATGCTATCAATGGTGAATGTATACTAGCATCGTATAGAATCAATAGTGTAATTTTGTAGTTTCCCAACAAAATAGTTTGGTTTTATGATTTTGTAATTTAGGTGAGATTTGATAGTAATATAAAATAATACATGAATCTAATTATAAATTTAATTCAGCATAATATTTAAACCTTTTTCAGCAAATAGATTTATATATATATTAGACATATACAACTGGGTTTAAAACCATACCATATATTAATAAATAAATAGATATACTTTACCACTATCGGCATTTAGAATATTGACCACTTCAATTCGATCAAAATAAATCATTACACCACCACTTGTGCCACAAGGAACATTTTTTACTTCATCTGTTTGAAGTGTAACCTGAAAATACAAAAATAATATAAATATTAAAGTATAATAACATATTCACATTTATATTATCTGAAATATTAGACACAAAATACTTACTTGTACAGACCGAAATGTTGTAAGGAAGGGCATCATGATATGGTAACCAGGATAACTAATTTGGGATAATAATGCTCCACCCTAAATCATAAACACAAAGTACATAAAAATGTCATGAATATATTAACAAAGTAACTAAATCACTAAGATATATTTACCCTATAATAGACAGCCACATGCCCTTCGTCAACTCTATGCAAGCAAAAGTGAGTCAATGTGGCAGTCAGAAGTAACAGCAAAGGTAATGCATAGGATAAGTCTGCCATTTCTGAGATAATTACAATTTCGATATTTTTTAATTTTGTATTAAATGACAGAAAGTTGTGATATAAAAAAAAAATTAAAACTAAAATTATACAGACTCAATGACACCAAACAAAAATCAATTGTATAATAAACTTATAGTTCACACATACACAATAAGAAAGTATTTTAACGGTTTGAGAAAAAAAATTAATTTAATCTACAAAACAAATTAATTATAATAATGAATCAAATACTAATCTATTTGGTACTAAGAAAACATAGAGTAAACATATAATATTATTACACTGCATTAGACATAATTACATTAATATTTAATTCGTTATTGTTACTGTGAATATTAAATTATAATTTACTTTAGTTAAATAACATTATCAAAGAAGACAATATTTAAAAAAATAATTTATCAGATATTAAGATCAAAGTTACATTTTTTGTTTGAGTTATCAAAAAAAAAAATTAATTCCATCCTATATAGACTTAAAACGAACGTTGTGCGCGGTCTATCTATTATAAGTCTATCTTCCATCCACTGAGATAGATAACAATATACCAAAATTACATACTTGGATAATATATTATCTAAGATTACATACAACAATATTCTTATCTATCTCCATAGACTGTGATTCCATCTCGTAAAAATCTCTACTGATAAGTAATAAGAAAACACCGCTTCCTACAGGACCGTAGACAACGAAATTTCACAGGACACAGAAACTCACAATAAATTCTTAAGGCTTCTATCATTAAATATTAAATAGATCTATTCACTATTACATTATGGTATTGTACTATTATGAATCTATTAATAATGGTGTATAGTATATAATCTAGTATTAAATAATTGTTATGTATGTCAGTAACTCCATATTAATTTAAATATCAATGGGTCACTCCAAGATCTTAAAAGGACCACTGACCATTGTTTTTATAATAATACACTGCTGTCTACTAAATAGTAGTTAATAAGTAGGTACCTATCACAAAATATTAAAAAAAGATTTAAACTGTTCTGAGAAGGTATTAATAATTAATTTTACGATTTTAATTATTATATTTTATTATTTTAAGTAATATTAACCTAGGTATTTCATTTCCATCATTTATCTATTCAATCGTACTAGCATAACTTACAGAAATCGAATAAGTCTTTTCATATTATATTATGTAGAATACGTTTATTACGAGCACTTACACTAACTAAAGTAACTAGGTGTAAATAAAATCTATTAATCTTCCGAAATTCAAATTTAAAATAATTGTTAAGATAAAATTATCAAGTATAATTGAGATACCTATTGAGGTTTGAATAATGTATTGTTCACATTTTATGATTAGTCTTTACTCGTAAGACAATTATTATGATTTATGATGTATGAGTGTATGACTAGTAAGCAATATAATGATTATCGGCCCACATCCAAGTAGAATTATGTGAGAACTAAGACTTGAAACTAGTGTTTCTTAATTATTTTATTTAATCAAGTAAAATTGATAGTCGGAAATAGTAATTGAATTTTTGTAGAAGGTTAATTTTTAACTTACAACACATTACAAACACATTTATTAACTGCGGAAATGTTAAATTAAATATTTTTATTCACTCCAATTAATAAATCTAGATCTGAGATTCCAAAAAGATAAACATGTGGGTACCACTTGGCTATACATTAGATGTCATGTGGAAGCGAGGAACTTTTGAACATTATTGTGTAAAAACTAAAATGGATTTTGAAAACCCATTGCATATGATGAAATATGATTCTGAGCTGAGGCTGTCTAAATGTTGGTAACTATGGTTACAAAAACAAATTATTTTAACAATAATACTGGATTTGTGTGAAAATTCCCATTTTACTTTATTTATTGTTTTTTTCTGATAATAAGAAATATACTGAGATTTTTTTAATTTTGACCTCTTCAAAGTACCTATCAAAATAGATCCAATTTGCTGTCTAAAACCACCCTCAAAATAAAAATCGAAACATTTTAACGATAATTTATCGTGTACACATTTACAAAAAAACAACATACATTATTGTAAAAATAATACATTCATTGAACCGCTTAAATTTTAAAAAGATAACAATTATTAGTAGTTAGTACTAAAATTCTATATTACCTATTTTACTATCATAAAGACAGTATTCAAAAGAATTATAAATCATAATAAATAAAAATAGTAATAACTGTATTACAAGTATGTATTACATGTATAAATATTAATATTTATTTATTCATATTAATATATTATGATATTTAAATATCTTTGAGTTCGTTTCTTAAACTTTAAAGTTAAAATAAATACTAAATAGGTTTTATAAAAAAGTTTAGTTTTAAAAAAGGTCATAAAAGAAAAAAATTTCTTTAATCCATGATAACATTTTATTTTTAGGTTATGTAACAAAGTAATAAACCCATTAAAAACAAACACATTTTTAAAACATTTTTTTGTGAAGTATGTGAGTGTAATAACTGTAATATTAATTATTGAATTAGTTTGTTATTAACTTTTCATTATGAGGGAGATCATCGGCGGTTTTTCAGAATCGGGAAGATATTATGCTGAAATCGGTGTTAATGGTAAGGTTAACGTTTGGGATACGAGTGCTGGTGATCTACGGCATACATATTCACCAAGTGGGCATTTAAATTCATCCGTCACCTGTATTACTTGGGTCCAAACAGATAATACTGACTTACTTTGTATTGGTACACAAAAGGGTTTTATAGAGTTTTATAATGTGGCCAGTGGAAGTATTCAGTCAAAAGTCAATATTCAATCAAAAGCTATCAAGAGCATTTATTGTACGGGTAAACATTTGTACATAGGCTCTGATGATGGTTATGTTGTTAAGTTTGATTTAAAGACCAATAAACTAGAAGCAAAAATGAAAGCCGGTAAAATGTGTACAGTAGCTGTATTGCCTGATGGAAAGATATTGTCAGCGTCCAGGGAAATTAAACTATGGAATTTTTCTTCTGGCGAGTTAGTTCATAAGTTTATTGGTCATAAAAATGAAATTCGTTCATTACACATTATAGAAGCTGACAAATGTTATTTATTAAGTTCTGCTAGAGACCGTTTTATTAATATATGGTCTCTTAGTGACCTTAAACGAGATCCATTAGCTTCACTAGTAGCTGAAGATAACATTTCTTCTGTGTATGTACATAATATGCGTAACAACATTACTGTGACTGTAACAACTGAAAGTGGCACATTGCATGTGTTTGAACATGTACTTAATGGTTGTGTAGCACATCCACTTAAACCTCATGGAACCCTTCAAATAGCTGTTGACAATATTAAAGATGAAGAAACTGTTCAAATGCCTATTATATGCAGTAAAATTTATGACTCTGTAGTGTATGTAGCCTATGGAACTAGGCCCTTTTTGGCATTTGAAAATATTAAATTACAAAAATTAAACAAATGTACATTTATTGCGAGACAAGACCCAAGAAAATCTAAATCAGTTGTCGGTAACTACATAATTAATCCAAATATTACAGACTCTAAATGTATTGAACTGAAAAATAATAGATCATCAAATTTACCTCTTGAAACAAGACTTCAAAATATGTCAGAAGAAATTGAAAATACAGTTCAAACCAAAGGTGAAAGTATCGTTCATTTGTTAATTCAAGGTCTTCGTAGTAATGATAAAAATCTTTTAGAGTCTGCTTTATTTGTTAAAGATGAACGCACAATTGACAATACTGTTTCACGTTTACCATTACAATCCATTATCATGCTTGTACGTAAGCTAATACGCCTATCACAAGACAGAACACTGGTAAGTTCTGTAAGTGCTAAATGGTTATCTGCTGTATTACGTATACACTCTTCCCTATTATTAGCTAATCCAGATGTCTTAGAGACATTTTTGCCATTAGAAAATGTATTGAGTACAAGATTAAATAATTTTGAACAACTTGGATTACTAGAGTTTAAACTAAAAGCTCTAGTAGACAGACTAAATTTTGACAAACAAGATAAAGAAAAAGAGCAAGATGCTCTTTTGGTATATAATGATTCTGATGATGAGGACAAAAGAACAACTGATGAAGAAGCTTTATTAACATTTAATGAATCTAACAGTGAAGATCAAAGCACATCAGACGAAGAAGAAGCAATGGATATAGACTTGAATGGTGATGATCATCCTAATATATTAAGGTGAATTATGTTAAATTACCTCCAAATGTTGTTCTATATTGTATATTAATACAATTATTACCCATAAATTGTCATTATTTGTTTATAACAGAAATGTTATAGGAATTTGTTATCAGAAATGTGACTAGAATAAAAATGTATTATTTAATGTATAAACATTTGCATATGTCAAGTTGAATAAACAATTTGTAAAAATATATTTTTAATATTTTATTTTTAAAATAATTTATTTGTAACTATAAGTTCAATATATGTTTATGGTTGATTGTTAAAATTATATTAAGTTTAAAACAAATCAAAAAAGTTGTGACCAGTGATACATACTGTTGTAATATTTATTATTTTAATAACTGAAGTAATTTAAGGTTTAGGTGGTAGTGTTGTTTCTAACACTGTCCTTTTTTAAAATTATTTTGAAGAATTTTGGAACGTTACAGTTTTGACATTACTGGCTGTAAAAGTCTGGTCTTGCCTATAATTATAACTTATAAGTAAACTATCTCATGGTATAATTGGTATTATATAGATCTAGAAAGTGGAGTTTGTGATACAATCAGCCTTTAATACCGTTCACATACAAAAATTCTAGTCTAAAATTCAATGTTAGGTAAATATCCATTTTTTACATCTATTAATCAAAATTTTCCTTGACCTTATTTATGATCCATATCTTCAATGGCCACTCAAATCTTGTAATTCCTGGTTGTTCATTTAATACTAATACCTAGATCTAGAAATGAACTGAATATTTTACTATAGATACTATTGACTCGATAAAGGAGTTGTTTGAGAGGTGCTAAGCAGTAAGCACTCCCAGCTGGCTACATTCAAAGCATTTAAATTAAAAAAATAAATTTCTTTTTACCTTTGAATATTACTATTTTAGTGACTGGACATTTTAATAACCTATTTGATGAATCGGATAAAAAATAAGTCTGAAACTTATATTGGTTAATAATTAAATGATATGGGATCTATAAATCTAATATAATTTATAATAATAAACAACACATTTGTATTTTGCTTAAATACAATATTTTAGTATATTAACTATTTAACTGTACATTCTTTAAACATTTAAAATAAATATAACATTAGTCTGGTAGACCTGACTTTTTTTTTTCAAATTTTTAAATTTTTCCAAAAAGTGTATGATATATATTATAAATTTAAAGTTTTAGATTGTACAAGATGAAAATGTCTTAGTATTCTATTTTATATGTGTAAATATTTTAGTGCCTTAAAACTACCTATAATACTGAAATTTATAAATTATTATTTTAAGTTGTAACATTAACTTAAACTTATAAGAGTTATAAATTCATAAGTACAACCAATTAATTTTCATAACTTTTACCTATATAAATAAGTAAAAATACCTTTGTCTTCAAATCTTTAATTGTCACTACAATATACCTACTTTATTACAATAATTTAATATTAACTTTTTACATATTTTAGAGAAAAAGGAAAATAAGCTAATTTAATCCAAGAATTCACCGAAACTACAAGTTCAAAAAACTCAAAAAATGCATGCACTGATGCATTTAGAGCGGTGGTTTTCAACCTTTTTAACAATGTAGCACACTTCTACAATATTTTTGCGACACACCAATTCATATAATACGTGAAGCATATATTTTTAAATATAATATATATACATATATACAAAATTAACTCCATTAATAGATTTATTGCGGCACATTTCAAAGGCACTCGCGGCACAGGCGTGCCGCGACACATCGGTTGAAAACCACTGACTTAGAGGTATCATTCAACCTACCTCTTTAACAGCCAAGTTTTAGAGTTCTTTGTAGTGTCATAGAAGGATCCAGAATTTTAAACGTTTTCGTTTAGGAAAAACGAAGAAATCTCTAATTCCGTTAATTACACTTAGATAATTTTTAAATGATTGCACAATTTGCACACCACGTGGCTTAGAGCAGTGGTTTTCAATCGGTGTAAGTGTGCCGCGATAAATCTATTGATGGAGTTAATTTTATATATGTATTATATATAAAAATATATGCTTCACGTATTATACGAATTGGTGTGCCGCAAAAATTTTGTAGAAGAAGTGTGCTACATTGTTAAAAAGGTTGAAAACCACTGGCTTAGAGATAACAAGTTTAGTAATATTATCTAGGTACAAAATAATGAACATCGCTGTCCGCTGAAGGATATATTTTTCTTATATAAGAATAGACATGTGACATATGTTCAAACTTCAGTGTTGTACTTTTTAGACAGCCGCGACACTATCGTATCTTTGTTTACTGAGAAATTTAAGCTCTACACAAAGTATAAGTTTTTTTGAATCAAAACATCTAACAGAGATACTTATTCCATGCCCGAAATATTGACTATTTCGTCATTAAGAAACCGTTCTGGTAACCAGTGGCGCACAACACCTATGAAATATATGGTTCTAATAGTTAAATCAATAGCCACTCACCTATCTGTTCATCAATCAAATATCGATAACGTATAATTAACATTTTTAACTCTATTAAAGCCGCTCGCAAATGACTTAGGTATTCAATCACAAAAATACCTTTAAATCTGTCTTTCAAGTGTTTTAATCTAAACACGCATTTTAGTCAATTAAATTCAATAAAATGCATTGATGAACTTAAAAATAATAATCTAATTTTGGGGATGCAATATTTTTTTTAAAAATTGCAAAATAAAAATTATATACAATTTGTTTATAGCTTTAATAACACATCAATATAATATTATTGTACTACATACAAGTTACAAAATAATTTATGGATGAATATTTGATTTTACATGAAATATTTTTTTTAAAACAGTGTTAAATTCAGAAAAATATTTTATGACATTGTTTCATTATTGATATTTATATCAAATTCACTAGATATACGAGCATCAAATCTTCTAAGCGCTTTTGGGATATTGTAGTTCGGATTTAATCTAATTCAAAATATGATAAAATTAATTACAGATCATAGATGACATTAATATATATTTGCTTATATTTTGATTATTCAATATTTTTTAAAATTATTAATTAAATAATTATAATTACATTAAGTATACATTTGACACGAGAATGATGAAGCACGTAATAAATCGTTTAGTTGTATAAAATATTTAATAGATAATAATAGTAATTGTTTTATGTAGGTATAATGCTAAATTCTTAACAGTCTATTGTTGTACACAAATATCACAAATACATTTAGAAAAAACTTAATTTTTTTTTTTTTTTAATACTTTATTGACGATATTTTATTTGAAAAATAAATAACTTACTTATGATTTTCCGTATTCGACTATCGTTTTACAGTATGTCTGGGACTGGGAGATTAAGTGGATTGAAATTTACTAGGAAGCGATAATTCACTATTTGTCTACACATGCGCAACATAAGATTATAGACGTGTTCTATTTCCAACGTGCCGATTGGTAAAATGATGCATTAAGAATTTTGAGAATGGATTTAAATTTGTCGTCAAGTTTACTTGAGATTGACTTTCCTATATTTTTGATCTATATGATCTTATATTATTAAACGAAAAGGTTGCTCGCTTTTTCTCCTCCAAAACGACCTCAAATAGCGTACTGGTCAATCGGAAAAATAATTTTTTTTTTATCAAAGTCGTATCGCCCTTCGCCGACGGCCCGTTATCGTTATCGGTCGTCGTTATTACTCTTATTACCGTTTTTTCCGCTTTTCGCCCATTTTTCCGGCTTTTCAAGACCTTTTTCCGTCGCGTTCTTGATTCTATCGCGTAGAGAGTGTCTTTTTTGTTCCGTCTATGTGCGTTTTTCATGCGGATTTGGTCCTCGACCGTAGACGTAGCGGTAATAGAGGCGGCCCTCTTCCAACGGACATTGGACGTTTTTTTCGGTTTCGCCTTTTTCGCTCCCGCACGTTTTCTAATCAAAAAATAACAATAATTATTATTTTTGAATTTTGATACTACAATAATTTGATTTTTATTTCAATAATAAGAATTTAAAAAAATACCTATTCATTTTTTTTTTTACTTAACCCCCTTCGAAACTAAATCTTGGCTACATCCCTGGTTATGATATATGTATGTGATAAACTTAATATATCATTAAGATATATACAATTAATGTAGATGAATACATCAGAAACAGTCTAAACGACAATAAATATGCGATTTAAGGTTTTATAACACAAGAGTTGTAAAAATTGCACTGGTTAAACGACGCTTAATGCAATATTCGTTGCTACTCTAAAACGATTTAAATGCTCAAGATTCGGCATCGGTTTCCTACTCAAACGGTGGTTGATAGGTGTTAAGATAGGATTTTCAATGTTAGGTAGACACATTCGAATTCCGATTCAGCGTAATTCAGGCGGCGTGTTGAATTACGTTGCCGATGAATTTTTCGCATTTTTTTCATTTAATTCGATCAATGTTAATATTATTGTTAATTAATTGTAATTTTCGTTATCACGGAAAGTGCATATTTCTTTTCGATATCTAACTATTAATAAAATATCGAAAAAATTTTAAATGTACATTTTTTTTTATTTTTAACTCACTATTTTTCACGACTTAGTAACGTTTGACATGTTTTCCATAATACATTTAAAACCTCCCCTTTACGCCCACATTGTCCGCAATCCGAAGCAGTCGGATCGCCTACCTGGGAGGTTTTAATGCGTTTAACTGGATTTTCAATGGTGTTCGCTTGAAAATTAAACACTCGATTCGACTTAAGCTTTTTACGTAGGTACAGAATAGCACGTTAGGAGGTATAACAATCCGCCGTAGGTGGATTGCCTAGCCAAGAATCGATTTTCACTGGGCGATGACTAATAGCTAGAACTAGATTACCATTTAGGAATGTATTTATTTATTTTTTATACACAAAAGTACAAGGCAAGCTACAGTATAAGGTGTATTACACCTGTGAATTTATTGAAATGACCACTAGACGCTCAAATTCGACTTTTATATACACGTTTTAAACGACATCGCCAAAGTATAGAGCTACCAAATCAGAGGCACTAACGTAACAAACGCGTTATCACCGGTTTTGCCTACTAGACTTTTCTAACTGCGGTATTCTAAAGTCCTGTCTCCTATGTTGGGTTTGGGTATTCACTTTTTTAACTACGGTTTTGTTCAAATGTTGTCTCCAACTTAGGAAACCTCCAACCTACAGCGAGTTTTACCGGTTCTAGTAGCTACATAATATCAAAATGGAATTTTATAAATTGTTTACTACTAATTGTTATCAACTTATGAATACTTAATAGGTATAAAATACTATACGAGTATTGTGATATTTATTAAAAATAAAAACATAATGGATGTGGATATGAACAAAAAATTCATCATCGACGTCCTCGATAGATATTATTTCTTATCGGCTATATCTTTGTCCACTTTCACCATGTGATTGAAGAGATCTATAAGCCTTTTCGAATATCCCATCTCGTTGTCATACCAAGCACCGATCGTCACGAATTTGTCGCCGATGACCGACACCTGGTTGAAATCAACTATGGCCGAATACTGATGGCCAACGAGATCGGAGCTGACAAGTTTGGTCGTATCTTCAATGTAGGAATACACGTCATTGTTGCATAATGTCGCAGTTTCCCAGATGGCACATTTAATTTCCTCTAATTTCACGGGATTTTTTATGCTGTTTTCACGAATATTAAAAAAAAAAAAAACACGAATTTGAAATACTTGTTGCAGAAGTTAACCTAAATTCTTAAGAAACAAAATATCTTTTTATTTTCGTATAGTTTATAGTGCACAGACGTGATTACATATAAATACGTAATGAATACTTGACATCTTATTTTTCATTTTTCTATTATATTATATTATTCACATCCCCCTCACACACCAGCTATCGTAGCTCTCGCATTATACGCCACTTAGACTACTTCATAGCAGGGGCGGCTTGTCAGGAGAGACTTTGAGACCACGTCTTCCCTTCATAAAAAAAATAAAACAACTACTTATAAATAATAATTCATTAAAAATAAAAATGTATAGAAATGTTTTTATTTAAATTGAAAATATATTAAATATTTTTATTTTTTTTTTTTGTTTATTTTTATTGAAGGCCACAAAATTTTAAACCTATAAATAGTTATTTCGATAGAAATATTAATTAAAAATATTATTTTAACATCTGCAGGTTGGACGGAGGGGCCAGGGAGAAATGAGAATAAGCCACGTATTATAGACGCTATTGAAATTTGAAACTGGGTTCACGACAAATTTTTACCGTGCCGCCGCGCCGTCGTAATTAATTACATTAATTATTTAATATTTATTAAACGTTTATACTATATGCTATTTATTATTTTTGACATTTTAATGTTTGTAGTTATTTTTAAAATACAAAAATACCAAGTAATAAACTTTTGATTGACCAGTTGTTTTAATACTTTAACGTACGAATAAAAAAATCAATTGAAATTTAATCACCCAACTCCTCTTCATATATTATTATAAATGATCGCAGAATTGAATCACATAGTTAAAAAAAAATTTAAATTGTTATATCATTTAACAGAATTTATGTATCCCTTGAATATTTATTCACAAGCCTTCACAAGCCGCTACTGCTTCGTAGTATACTCATATACGTATATATACGATATCATTAAAGAATATAATACGTTACTTTATGTAAAGTTTCAGTAGCGACACGTCCAGCGTGGGCACTCTTATCGAGTCACCGGTTACTTTTCCTTTTAGTTCCGGAATAACAATTCCCACAGCTTTCGCAGCGCCCGTCGAGCTGTGCACAATGTTTCCAGAGGCCGACCTCTGACACGAAAAATCATAAACATAACGAGTACATCATGATTAGGTCAGGATATTCTGACTTAATTCTAATAAGACCTCCAAAAACAGTACTTATAATTAAATTGTTTTTAATGATATTTTAGTGATATTTTGTCTATTTCGTGTGATAAATATCACCCTTTTGTAGATGAGGTTCATAATATAACACTAACCTATGTGTAATACGTCTATAAAATCATGTCTCATACTTATCTTTACAATTTTCGTCGACACTGTTTATTTTTATAGACTTTATACTTATTTAGCTATTGACTTTAGTTTTTAAATAACTTTATTCAAAACAGAAAATATATTTATTTATTTTTCGTGTACAGACTAGAGTTTTAGAGTTTAGAGTTTTTCTTTTACCAACTTACATATTAATATATTATTATCGTTACATAATCTAAGTACAATCATATGAAAATAACTAGATTATAATAGAATTATTTAATGAAAACGGGAAAAAAATAATAACCATTCAGAGTTCTTCGGGACAAGGGAATATGTTAGTAAAAAAAGGAACGATCTTGTATAATTACACTATAGTGACTAGTCATTAATCACTATAGATTAGTAAGTAGTGGTGCAGTATATGCCTTGTAAACGTGCTGGTGTAATACATTTTGTTTTGTGCATTTTGATGGTGACAACAAGATGGTTTTGAAATAGTTAGCTACGCGAGATAAGCACTTCATGGCATTCGTATTAGAATAAATCAGTAAATCCGATAAAAATAGATAAATATTGTAATTTATCTTATTAGGTATAAAAAATATAGGTCCTTACGTCTTTCGTTTTATCTAGGACGGCCTGACTAGACGTCATGGCATGAACGGTGGTCAACAGACAGTTTTCTACGCCGAACTTTTTGTTTATAATGCTCAATAACGGTGCCGCACAGTTGGTTGTGCACGACGCATTTGACACCACTGTCATACACTTTTTATACTCATTGAAGTTGACACCCTTCACGAACATTGGCGCGTCTTTACTCGGCGCGCTGATAATTACCTTTTTCACTCCTGCGGCCATGTGTTTCTAAAAATATCATTATCGTGTCACTAGATTATTGCAGAACAGAACAAGTCGTATAATATTTAATAGCGTACTATACTATAGCCTATAATAGATACTATATGCAGTATAAGAATAACGGAAATGCCTTTATTATAAAGACAAATTTCACTAAATAATATCATGTCTTATTATAAAACGTTTTTTTATACTGTACAGTGCACATACCTTAGCCGTACTGACTTCAGTGAACCTTCCGGTCGAATCTATCACATAGTCTACTGGTAATTCATTCCACTTGATCTTTTCTGGGTTTTCTTCTCCGTACACTTTTATAATATTGCCTGTAGAGACAGGTGTACACAATAATATCAATAATAGGTAATTATAATATTTGATCGTGTCGACGTCAAATTTTTATTATCTTGGCAATATTAAAATAGTATTATAATAATAGTTATAACCATTAATGTTGAGACTGTTTTCGTGTACGCAGACTTTTCCAGGAAACGTCCCGTGAACCGTATCATATTTGAACGAGTGCGCGATTGCCGCTGCGTCGGCACCTGGCTCGTTTACGGCAACCACCTGAAGGTGAAAAGAATAATATAATTATACAATTAACGATCAACACAAATTATGTTTGTATGATGGTCTTCTATTTGTGGGATCGATATAACTAGACACTATATAATCCATTGGGGCCGGGACTTACGTTTACGTTATTCTGGACGGCCAACCGGAGTACACATTTCCCTATTCGACCGAATCCATTAATCGCGACGGTAGGTAAGTTGCACACTTGTCGTATTTTTTGCATACCCGCCATTCCGGATGGGATCAACCGCAAACCGTTTTTCAACATTATAAATTTAACGACAAGACAAGTATAACAAACTGCATTTATTAATATAAAATTTGTTATGAAAAAAAAGTCAGGTTTGTTATAACGAAATTGTTTGTTGATTTACAAATATCATCGGTAAATTTTAAACTATTTAGTCAAGCCATATAATTTTTTTTCTTTTATTATCTAAATCATATAGCACACCATAGTATAAATTATTATTTTCTCGTGCTCACAACTAATATTCATTTTACATATAATAAATACCTAATAGTGCCTAGTATAAATTTATAAAATAAGAGCATAAATGCATATTTTATAGTACATATTTCTGAGGTTTTTAGTTAGAACATATAAATCCGGGCCTTACAGTTTGTAATGATAGGCTCTAACATAATTGTATATTATATAACTATAAAACTCAAATAAATAAAATAACGGTCAAGTTGTCACAATGTGCCGCAAAGCCTGTGACCCAATTTTGTGTGCCGCCAGAGACAAGGGGTGGTCCAATGAGGGTCTCTGTCGTCTAGGAGAAAGCCTATTTCTTGAGAAAACGCGGAGACCTTTGATGGTGTCGTCTGCGACTCTGGATGGCTTAACCAAGTCGTCTTCTCTCATCAGTGCATGAGCATCAGCCAAGCCATTGAGTGCATGAGTGCCAGCCAAGCTATCGAGTATTCGAGTGCATGAGCACCTACTAAGCTATCAATTGCAGGCGCACCAGACAATCCAGCAAGAGCTCTTCCCAAAACTATCACACGTGGCACACACACAAGATTCTGCGAGCGACAGCTGGACTTCTTTTTTTTATAAATCAAATCAAAGTTGTTTTTTCTTATTTAAATTTAAGTTTTTCTTAAATCGTTTCGTAATTTGTGTCACCTTATATCTCTCTCCGAGGAACTTACAATAAGCATTTACTGTGGCGAATCAAGTAAGGTACATGTCTAAAATATCTATTATTAATACAGGTTCTTTCACTATCTAGTTTACGTAACGGTGTGCTTGATTACATTCTCGAATACAAGACCTCGAGAATCCTCCGAAGAATAGGAGGAAGGCAATAACGCGAGAACAAGTATATTCAATAATTATTAACAGCGGACTTACATCCAAGGTTTGTGTCCCTTATGTTTCTTCGGCCACCTCCTCTTTTTATCTTATTTTTAATTTAATTCTTTTTATTTTATTTTATCATATTTTTCTCGTTATTACAAATTATTAGGTTATATCCAATGTACATTAGTTTAAATGTTACCTAATTGAATAGAATAATTACTTTAAAATAATTCTTACGTGGTTATTATTTTAAATTTTGAAGTAATAATATAAAAAACGACAAAAATGTTAATAATTTTTGATATTTTACATTGAAAACTATGTACCTATTCACAATATAAAAACCGGCCTTTAAGTTAAGGGTGGCGTACTTTGTTGTTAAATTCTGAACTACCAAACTGCCGGGATAATTTGCGACCGGAATATTTAAAAGTGGCGTCACCTTATCTTCTCAACATCGTGCTTCCAATAATTATCAAACAATGATAACAGATAAACGAATTAATGACGTTCTGATCAATGAAACATTTTTCCTGCTATGATCCATTCGTATAATTCTGGCGTGCACTCCACTGTTTTTCTTCCATGGATGACAGCCTTAACATTATTTTAATACCATGACTCTGACAAAAAATGTAAAAACAATTCAAGCATTTCAGGCGATTATATCGATAGTGTGTATGGTGTAACGAACTATGTAGTAGTACCTACTACCTATGTTAAAAACATTTTCATTATCTACGGGCCGTGTCCGTTTGTGGCGGCTCCCGGCTTAGCTGTTTTTCCCTGTGCTAATTTAGTTTTTGATGTTTACTGTTTTGCTGTGCAGTTTTTTTATCTGAGGTGTTGACCGGTGGGGCGTGATTGATATTTGATATATTTTATAGTAGTATGTTTGTAGCACTACTCGTTATTCCGACTTGTTGCATTTATCGTTAAGTGTTATTTTTTAATTGTCAATTGCTTAATTTTAACAGTTTGAAATTGTACCAAGTGAGAAGCGGTTGAGCATTGGGATTCATTTGTACACGAGTTGTACGGAGGACCATTTATATGAAACTGTTAAAATTCGATTGGTCTGATTTATTAATGATTTAATTTTGTATTATGTGATAAAAGAATTATTACCAAAAGAAAAGTATTTCTTGGCGTTTTCAATTTGATGCGAAATCTGCTAGTCAGTCATTGTAAAACATAACGTTGCGTTTGATTGTTTTAAAATGTCAGAAATTGAGATCTCATCCGGACTGGAAGATAGTGAACCAGACGTATGTATAATACCTAGAAATTATAACTTTCTGTAGCATGATATTACAAACATATACAGTACTACTTATATAAAATTAGCGTTTAAAATGATGGATCTAAATTATCTTTAAACTAATTTGTAATTATTTAGGGTTTATATTGTATGTAAAATGTCCTGAATTTTATAATTAGAGATGATTTTACTCCTACTTTCAATACGTCAATTTATCTAAAATAATTCTAATAACAGATTTTAATTTGTCATGTAGTGTACTTGAGATTAACTTTTATTTTAAGTTTATTATTTAGAAATTTAATATAACAAATTTTAAAATTGCCATTTTTTAAATTTATTTTGGTATAACTTATTGAGATAAAAATCAAAAATTAGAAAAAATAGATTTAACATTGGTTGCATAAATAAAATTGTCTGTTGACTTATGATTAAACAACCTTATTATATATGAGCTACAATAGTTTTTTTGTAATATTTTAAGGTATATTTGCCTCATCCATATCAAAGGTTCACTGTTACTTATTGATGGAAACATTTATTACTTAAGCACAAATTTTTATATAAATTACATACAGTAGAGCCTTGATAATCTGAACTAATTGGAACCACACTGAGTTCGAATAAGCAAAAGTTTGGATAATAGAAATTAAAAAAAAAGTCAATTTTTAATAAACTGATTAATTATATATATATTACAAAAATAATATAGATGTCAAGTATACAATATTTATTGATAAGCTAGCCACACGTGAACGTTGTTAAGAATAAACATTATTAAATTATATACTAATAATAAACTGCAACTAAGCGTGTGTGTCGTGATATATTATGCATTGAGTATTATGGTTCGGATAAGAGAATATTTGGATACCTGAGTTGAAACAAAATAATGTTTGGATAACAGAGGTTCAGATAATCGAGGTTCTATTGTAATTTTATTCTATCCAATTTTTTTAATTTTAATTAAAAATAAGTATGCTTTATAACACCTTGAATAAAATAGCACTTTTTTATCTTATATATTTTCACATATTTTTAAATATTTTACTAATATGTACATATTTTGTATTTTTATAATTAGGTAAATTAAAGTTTAAAGAAATATTGACAATAACCATTATTATGTTGGCAATTTTTATTCAGCTATTGCAATTGTTTTTACTAAAGCTACTGATGTCATGAAAAATAACAACTTGAAAAATAATTTTGTATATATTTCCACACATATTTGTTTTTTGGTTAAAGTAATAAAAAAAATAAAAACTTCAAATCTAATAATTATTGAAAGTCTTTCAATAAGGAAAAATAGTACAAACAAATTAAATAAAGTAAAAAAGTGTAGCTTGGCGTGGCTCATTGGCTGCTACCAGTCATGGAATGCGACTGAGAGTAAGTAACGGTCACAGCTACTAGTTCCCGGATGGGTGACTACCCAGGATTATAGTGGTTAAAAACCTTGCCACACATACAAGTGTTTACTATCAACCGTAACAATCATAAAAAAATAACCTACCGTACCAACCTTAACCCTACCACAGTTCATAACCCTTACAACAACTAATGACCCAATTCGCCGAAGCTTAAGTTCAAAAAAAAAAAAGTTAAAAAAATTTGGAGGTAATAATAAAAAATAAGTTATTTGCTAAAAATGTTGGTTTACAAAATATAACAACTATTAATAATATTCTTTTGAATAAAAGTTAAAACACACCAATGGATACTAAATTAATACCATCTGATATATTAAGCATGAAATATACCCCATTGTCAGTGGACATTGAATGCTCTTTTAATAGCTACAAATCAATTTTGAGACTTGTCCGCTGTACATTTAAATTTGTAAATTTCCAAATGTATGTTGTATCCAATTGTTTCTAAAAAGATACAACAATGATGAATTTAATTAATAAAATTTAAAAAAAATAATGTTATAAACTTATAAACTAAATTTTTTTGTTAAATATTTCATGTTTTTTAATAGTAAAAATAAGAAAATAAATATTAACATATTTTGATTTTTTTATTTCTTAAAAATTAGTGCCCTACTTATTATTATGATAAAAATATTGTTTACCCAGCACACTTAATAATATTCACTAGATAGTAGATATCAGGAAGGGTGCTTCATGGGATTTGTAAATAGCTGGAGTATGCCAAATCCATATCTTTTGTTTTAGTTTTATAAATTTGCAACACAGCATGTATACATACCTAATTGAAAAACAATTTTATGTTGTTAACTTTAATATTAGAGTGAATTGAGCTATTATTAAATTTAAAGGTAAAAATATTATCTTGGCTATCTTTACATAAACATTTATTAATATTTAAATCTTAAATCAAGTTATAAGTATTTTAAAATTACTATTATTTCACAGTTATAACTTTAATTAGCTGTAAAAGCCCGTAAGGTGTTCAAAATATTATGCTTACCAGTTTCTTGTAAGTTTAATATTAGGTTATTCATTCTAATATATATGCAGACAACAATTTATTCTGCTAAATAAAATGCCTGTAGTACATTTTTAAGTTGAGACAACATACATGAGTTTGGCATTCTCTTGTTATATTTATTATTTTTAGTTTTATAAAATATATATATATATATATATATCAAGTTTACAAATACATAAAATTTTTTTTTTAACATAAGATTTTGTCTTTTTTTCAGATATTTTATAATATGGATGTGTTTCAACAGGTGAGTATTTTGATTTAACTAATAATTATAATACAAGCAACATTATCTTCAATTGTGCTTATTAATTATGAATTAATGAATTATAAACTTATATTTAATTGAAACATATTTTTATTTAAATATTATTATATTAATAGTTATTGGAGCATTACATACAAAAACATAATTATCTTTAATCTTTATTTCATTTTTACTAATACTAACAATATTTACATAATTATACACTAAATTCAAATAAGCTAGTATTATGTTTCTTGTTTGAATTTAGTATAAGATATAAAAAGTGAATGTATTTATTTATGCATGTATTGATTATGGTATTTAAAAAAAATACATCATTTAAAATCATAATTAAACATTACATTTTTTTTCTCAATATTTTTATAGATGATAAATTTATGCCGAAACAATAAACAGTTTCCTCAGAAGTATGTTGAAGATATGAATAAAATGTATAACAAGTGCAGTAATAAGCAAAAAAATTCAAAACATTTATGCAGTTTGGTACTTAAAGGATTAGAATTAATTTCTCCAAAGAATAAAAATTCTTTTCAGTATGCTGCCGATGTATATAATGCATTATTGCAACTTTCCAAAAAAGACTCAAATAGTTTACAGGTATAGTATTTATTATTACATTAATAATATGTTTTATTACCTAATTAGAAATATATAATATAAATGAATAGTGGTAAATACTTTCTTTATTAGTTATAAATTATAATATATCTAGTAGCAAATCCATTCTCATAATTCAATCAATAATTAGTTAATCTATATGTACAATTCTGTCAAATACCTAGATCTCATTGACAAAAAATTAACCTGTGAAAACTGCACGAAAAAAAAAAAGAAGAATGTCGCTTAATTTCAAACTACATATATTAAGACCACTACAATCTAAAATATCCTTAACCAACAAATCATAAATATACAAACAAATACTATGTCTATGATGACATGTAGCATCTAACTCTAGCGAGTTTCTAAAAATTCAAATTTAAACAAATTTCAAGGATTTCAATCAATAACTCTTCATGTCCTTTCAAATGCCTCCTGGTATAACAGTAATCGTACTCTATACCAGTGTTTCTCAACCAGGGGATCGCTAACTTATGATTTAAAATTCAAATCAATACAACAATTTAAAAGTTCAAATAACAAAATAAAATAATGAAAAAATAAAATCAATAAATATAAAACATTGCGGTATTGTGTACAGTACTATTAATGTAATTGATAATAATTTATGCGAATATATAAAAAAATATATTTAGAGAGTAAATTATGTAGGTAAATTGAAATTCAAAAGGGGGGTCGCCACAGTGAAAAGGTTGAGAAATGCTGCTCTATACCATGACCTCAACTTACCATAAATGTCTTCATTTGATTCTTATCACTATAACAAATTTCACAAAAATTCCTTCATCACATCAATCCTCTCATATCTTAACTATCCTTCCACTCATTACCTGACAACTCGCCTCAACATCTCAAATGTAAATGGCCACTTGATCTATTAAACCATAGGTTCTTAACTGGGGGTCTGTATATGGTTACTTGTGGGTCCACGAAGTGGTTGTGAATTTTTTTTCTATACTATTTCTAAGATAATAATAATGTCTTGCCCGCATTTATTTATTTATATATATTTGTTTTTGGTAAGGGGATCTGTGATTATATTTTACTTTAAAGTAGTCTATGGACTAGAAAAAGTTAAGGATCTAGGTATTAAACAATATCTTATAATTAGGGCCTGGATTTTTATGTAAATGCATATTCTTCTATATTTGACTTTTAGAAATTCTGATTAAATATCTTAACGTTTGGTAATACATAGATATTGTTTTTTTTTGCATATTTCTGGATAATTACATAAAATGTACATATTTTATAAATATTGAATAAAATATTTTAAACTGTATTCAAAGTTTGATGTATATATATGTAAATGCCAATATTTGTGACAAATATAATTCAACCAAATAAAATAAAATATTTTACTATAGGAAATTCCAGCGACAGACGTATAAACTTCAAATAACTATAGGAGCGTTACCTTATAGATATAGATAAATATATAATAAATATAATCTAATTTTTGGGATATAATATTATATTAAGCATTTTTATATTAATTATTGACTGTTATTCGTCGGTGTAATGTCCACAGTTTTCTTTTTTGAATTTAAAAATTTAAAAAAGTGCTAGGGGCAAACAAAGTACATTATTACATAACTATATATCCAGGTATCTCTAGAACAGATGGAGGTGTATTATTTTACAGTTTTTGAAGTACAAAGCTATGCTACATAATGATTGTAGAAGTTTTCAATTTAACAATTTAAAAGCACATTTTTTACATCATGTTGGTACTCATTCAATTTCTCACACCAGTTGGCTTTTTGATAATTTTATATACAATTTATTTTGTTAAATATATTTTAAGTATTTAAGATGTATGATTGCCAAAAACATAATTTTTTTGTTTACATTTTAGACTGAAAATTGTGTTGCTAGTACTTCAAATGGTAATGCAAGTATGACTTCAGAATTAGAAAATAATATAAGTAATAATGAAATTAGTGAAAGCCATAAAATATTTAAAGAAGTAAGACAATTATTTTATTATTAATTTAAAGAAATGATTTTTTATATAAATACATGCTTATTATGTATTTTTTTATATATATTTATAATCAATTATTTATAAATTACTGTTAATATATATGTTATATATTACCATTAAGGTATACAATAATACATTATAATGCATAATAGTAAATACTGGTTATAAACATTATTATCTTATTCTTCTTATGCAATTTATTTCAAAATAATATTATTATTTGTTTAGAATTTAGAAATTAAAATATTGCAAGATCTCATGTATAAAATTCAAATTACTTTGGCCTATCCTCTATAATCTATAACTCGAGTCAATCACCTATTTGGTATCTTTGGTGCCATAATACTCTTTGGATACAGTTTCAGTGTTACTGTTAACAATATATATCATGCTTTTTATTAGAATAATAGTTTAAAGTACTATTTAATTTTCTAATATTATTAAAAATGTATATTTTGTATGTTTCAGTTAATTGAAAAATGTTATCAAAACAAACATTTTTCAAATTTAAATGTTGAAAAAATCGATAAATTGTATAACTCTTTGCCATCTGAATTTCTTAATTCTAACTATTTTATTAAGTTATTAAGAGAAGCAAATAAAATAATCTGGCCCGATAGTGGTATAACTTTATTTATACACTTGGAACATATATATGATCAATTACAGCAATTTAAAGCTTCAATGCAGGTAATATTTATTAATTAACATTTAAAAATGTTTAAATGAACATTATTATTTAATATCATAATAATGGTGTTGTTAGATTTATAGATTATTTAAACTTAAATATGATTTTATTTTATTTTAATCCTTTGAACTATCCTATAAATCATCTTAATGTCATTCACCTTTCCATTTGGCATAATATTTTTTGTTAATTTCTCATTGACATAATGTATTTTTGAGCACTATTATTTTTTTTATTTTTTTTATTATTTTAAAGTTGTAATTTTTATTGTTTCTGAAGTTGTACTATAAAAGCTGATTATAAGAGAGAAAATATTTGATTTTCATGAATAAAAATAATAATATTCATGTGTGAGCCTTCTTATAGTAAGTGATTCTATAGGTTGAAAAACAAAGCTATAAACTTTCCCTGAGTTCCAAAAAATCAAAATATAATTTTTATCAAAAATGATTCTATAGTTTTTAATAAGTCTATATAGGACAAAGAAATAAATATTCATTTTTGCATAATGTATATAGATTAGCTTAATTTAATGTTTAAATAATTTTGTAGGTTCAAGATACCAAAACATCTAGAAACAATAAAGAAATTGATGGAAAGAAATTAAAACAGTTAAAAAAACTAAAAACTGCGTTAAAGGTAATAATTTTATTGTAAATTAATTTAACTCCATTATTATTAGATTTTAAATCAATGGTTATTTTAGATTCTGAGAAGAGATGAATGTATTTATTTTACAATGATTTGATTTTTTAAAAAAATTTTCTCTATTGATGAGTGCATGATAAGTTGTTGATAAAATGTTTTAATTTTCAAATGTGAGGGTGCTTTTGGATTGTAAATTGTATCTTGTTTCTGCTTCAGACATCAAAATTTAAAATTTGCAACATAAAATTGAATGTATCTGATTCTATGTCAACAAATTTATTACTGAATCTGCAATGTGCACGACTAAAATAAAAAATATGCAAAAGTCATAAACATCCTAACCTAGTTATCATCAATGCCTTCTTTTATTAGGAATTGTCATCAATGACTAGTTATTGACTAGGCATTGTCAATATTGACTAAATGTCATTTTTTCCGGTAATATATATATTATGGAGTATACTTGTGATATTAAGTCTGATTGAATATTTTTGCTCAGAATTGTTTTTCTGATACAAATAATGTATCATTAAATTCAAATTTATCATATTCATAATAATGACCACTTGAAATCATATGTAATACATATTATGTATATGCCAAGCAATACCCACTTGCTTACTTTTTTGTTTTTAGATTGTCCGAAAAAAAATAAAAATTCTTGATGAACAAGAAATGGATATAAATAATGAAGATGAATTTAATGCTGATTCCGCATATATATTAAAAGACAAGTAAGTTTTTTGATTTTGTAAATACTTTTTGAAAGACATAAAATTAGGTAAATTAATTTAAGTTATTACTCCTTACTGGAGCTGCTGTACGAGCAACTCTTGTAGTAACACACTTTTACAAATAATCTCTAAACTATACAAAGTTCACTCCTGACTCAAATTATTGGCTTTCTTCCATAACCAAAATGTCCTGACATCCTTAACATTTTCATTTCCAATGCACCCTTTATTATGATCATTTTTCTGTTCTCTTCATTTTAAACTTCTCACTGCCAATTCAAACACTTAACCCTTTACTAACAAACAATAATAAGTTCCTATCCTTTTCAAAACCACCATAGTTGATCAATCCACTTCTCCCTATACCTTTGTTCCAGAATACGCCAACCAGAAAGAAATTTATGAAAATTCAGTCACTGTATTTAATCAACTAGAATCTCACCTTTCTTTTTTTGAAAATTGGTGTTAAAACTAAGAAGTTAAAATAAACAAATTTAAATTCCGCCACATCATTTTTTACCCTTAAACACTAAATTTATCTACAAATTATATTTAATCATAATTCCAACTTCATCTAATACAAAATACCTCAGAATACACTTAGATAAAAATCTAAACTGGGCCCACTATACTTATAATACCAAACATAAGCTTATATTTCATCTTGGTTCCCTTAAAATTTCTAATGTAAAATTAAAACTTATTCTCCACACTAAACTAATCTTATAAAAAACTCTTTAAACCTATTTGGATGTTTGGTATCCAAAAATGAAATTGTGCAAAAAAATCAAATTTAAATAAAATACAAATAACCTAAAATATAATATTTTGTTTAATAACAAGAAAAACATACTATGTTTCCAATCAAACTTTACATTCAGACTTAAAAATGTAAACAGTACTAAAGACCGCCATAAAATCCTATTCTCGTTATCACAACTCTCTCTTTGACTATCTTTGACAATCTTACCAAACCAGTGCCCTGCAACCCATTCAAAAGATTGCTAAGAAAGTGATGTCACATGCTATTTTTCTAATTTAACCTTAAACCTAGACTAGAAGTATCATTATTGGGCGACTTCTCCACCATATCATCAGGCAGCAATCTTCTTGTAATGTAATCATTTAAGCTTATACTAAATATTTGTAGATTGTTTAGTCTAAATAAAGTAACAATTATTTCTATTTATTGAATAAGCAAGTTTTTCCTAGGTTAATCAAATGCAGTGACGGATTCAAGGGTTTTCCTGGCCTCTCTTTGACAGTTTTATAATATATTTGTAGTTGTAATAATATGAGTTAATGACAATTATTATAAAACGTATAAAAACATTTTTAAGGAGTTTTATGAGGAAAAATCGTTTAAATAGATTGACATTGTTTAATATTTACAAAGAAATTAATGTAATGCCAGAAAATGTTTTAAATCTTTTTTCCTAACAACAACCTAGGCATTTACAGTTTTCAGTTTTCAGTTTTCAGTTTTTTTTAGTTTAAAAAAAATAAAAATCCTAGGTCTACCACTGATTAAAACCTAACCTTTATACATTAAAAAAATATATAAATAGTAATTAAAAATATAATTATTTATTTTATGATAAATTTAAAAAGTAAAATACACCAAATTCAAAATGTTTTAGTTATTTTTCAATGAATTACTAAAATATTATTTATTGGTATTGTTTCAACTGCAATTACTCAAATTTAGAATTTCTATTTTAATAACTTAACTCATATAGTGTAGGTTTGACTTTTCCAAGGTTGGCCAAGCTAGAAAAAGCACCACTTGCTGTTTTTTTATCTGTATTTTTATTTTATTTATTTTAATTATAGATATGAAAAAAGGATTGTTGAAATTTATAAACGAATGTGCAAACTAAGTGATGAACCAAACTTTTTAGAAGAACCTATATTGCGTTTTAGAGCAACAAATAACAAATTGATTAATAAAACCATTGAAAAATATTATAATCTTAATAAAACATTTCCTGATTATTATGAAGTATATACATTATTAAAATGCTTACGAGACAAAAAAAAATTAGATTGGACTGAAACTGAATTAAAAAATATTTGTAAGTGAAATCATGATAAAATACTCAAGAATCTTTTAAAATGTTGTGTGTTTATTTCAGCACATGACGCATTTCTTAAGCTTGGAAAACAATTAAAGCTTCAAAGACTGAATGAATATTTTGGTCGTTTGGCAAGTGTAAATGTAGATAAAGATCCAGCAGAAGAAGATGAAGACCTTAGAAAAAAACTTGATGAAAGTAACAAAAAGTTACATGCAGATTTGAACATGGTAAAGTTGTTTAGTCTAAGAGTAGTATCATTGATTATATAATTTATAATATTTATAATATTTATATTTAATTATTTATTATTATTATTATTATTATTTATTTATATTTAATTTATTTATTTATATTTTTATTCTATAATCAATGGTAGTATAAAAAAAGTTCTTGGTAATTGAATAATGGAATATTACAATTTAAGTTTAATAATGATATTTTAATGGATATTGAATGTTAGATTTACCTATTCAGGGTGATTCTTTGATAATTCACAGTTAAGCAGTGTAGTACCCAGCCAAAATTTTATTTTTTTATTTTAATGTTTCCTCTTCACCAGTCAGGTGATTGATAATATTTTATGATGAAGGCAGATTATTAATAATATAATGAGTAGGGCTAGGATTTATTTGCAATAAAAAATTGTAAAATATGCAATTAATATTATAAATGCCAAAAAATATGAAATATACATTAAAGAAAAAAAAAAAATCATACATTTTAAAATAATTAAATATATTTTTAATTATTTACGCTGTTCAAATGTATTACACTAAAAATTACATGGTATTTTAAATTTTCAAAACTGAACGAGCTTCTGTTAAATCTTAAAATGTTCTTATATTCATATAGGTATTTTAAACAGTGCGTCAACACATACTGTTACATGATAAAAATGTCTAGTAACAAAATGTACCATAAAATATTCATTTTTACGTTTTTATAGTCGGAACTTACAATGATATTAATTTTATTCAAAATATGCAATAATATGTATTTTGTCCGAAATATGCTAACAAATGCAAAATAAAAACATCACTATTTATCTCTTAATGAGGTGATTTGTGGACATTACTGACAAAATCAATAATTAGAAGTTGCCTAAAAAACATGTTGTTACATATATCCTATTCTAGCCCTAATAATGAGTATGAGGGTTATTGATCTGGGTATAGTGTACTGGAATGCTGTGAAAGTAGGTGTTTGTTGTTGACTGCTGATCGTTGTGGAGTCTTTTTTCCTATTGTTATTTGATTATTATATAACATGGTACGTGCAGGAAAACCCACAAGTCAGCAGTCAGCCCCACTCTATCATTCCTCATACTCATCATATTTACTGTGTCTTATCTACAGAGCAATGTACAATGTTGAAAGATCGCAATTTTTACAGTTTATTGAAGTTTTCTAAAAGATATTTTGCTATGATATAAGACAGAGGTCAGCAAACTTTCTAGTGTCAAGACCCAAAATATAATAAAAACATTTTGACGGGCCATGCACTTTATTTTATTTACATATTTTTACAGTTTAAATTTTAAACCAAGTTTAATTTAATTTATTTAAGTTTCATCACTGTTTGGTGCTTATATTAATTTAATGTGGTATGTATTAACAAAGTTAGGTTATCATCTAACATAATGTGATATTTCATATGTTTATACCAATTGTAAATTATAATCGTGGGCCTTATAAAATCACTACTCAGGCCACAGGTTGCCAACCACCGACATAAAAGATTAAAAATGTATATTGCAATTAAAAAAGTAAAAATAAAATGACAAAAATAATAAACATATTTTTAGAGAAAATTATTTGAACAACCTATAATGATATAATAAAAATAAAATTAAAAAGTATAAATTTTTTGAGATGATGAATTTTTTATAATAAAAAAATTGTCCTGTATATTCACTAAATTTTATTGAAAGAAATTATATTTTAAGGAACCATGAACTGTCTAAAATGTATCTCGCAGTTATGATTGAGTTATTCAATTAAAAAATCACCAAATGGCTCATTTTAGTGATAAAAATTCCGATTATATGTCAAAAATATTTTCTTTCAATGAGCATCAATATTTTATTTTTTATTCTTCAATTTAATTATTTTAATTGATCAACATTTATGTTCATACGTAATGTTTGAAATTATGCATTTAACCAACTGACTGTGGTTTATTATATGTGTGTCTTAATTATATATTTTTATTTTATAGTTGACAAAAAAGTTTGAAAATAAACAAGATTATGCAGAAGAAACAGAAGGGTCTAATCTTAATGATACAGAGTGTGAAAACAGTTCAGAAAATGAATATACTGATAATAATAGAAAATTATATAAAGAGCCGAAACCAATATCAGTTAGACGGAAAAGAAGGGTATCATTATCATCATCATCAGAATCAGAAAATTTTAAACGACCAATAAAGAGTCAGAAAACTCTTTACATGGAGTCGTTTGATTTAATGCCAAGTGGTGTTAATTCAGAAACAATACAAGAAGAGGCAAATGATAAAATTAATGTTATTAAAAAAAAAGTTCCTGATAAAATTACAGTTAAAGATATTGATGATATAATAAATAAAAAAAATAGTATTGGTATAGTAAAAGATGCTGACAAACTACCAAAAAAAGTTTCTAAAAACGTTTTGAGAAAAGTAGTTAAGGCTGATGAAACATTAGAAAGTAATAATTTAGTCACAGATATTGATACTGATGCAGACGGAATTCTTGTGATTGATGAAGAAGTTAGAGTTGAGAATAATACTAAAGGAAAAGTTATCGAAGAACCATTGGAAAATAATATTAAAGAAATCGAGAGTGAATTAAATGCTATGCATCATAGTAGTACATCTATTGATAATGAAGATCAACATCAAGCTGAAAGATTTGAGCCTGAAGTTATAATAGAAGAAATAAATGAAGATAAAGATTCATCAAAAGATGTAATCGAGATTAATGAACTCGATGATTCAGATGTAGAAATAACTTCTTGTGAAACACCCATAGTTCCTGTTCATAATAAGAAATCTCTAGATTCTATTATAAAATCGTGTAAGTTAAATTATACAATATTAATGTAAGAGAATGTCTACATAACATGTTTTACATAATTGTAAGATAAAGGTTACAAACACGCATAATATAATGTGGCATCCTCTTAAGTTTTTTTTCTTTGAGTATATTTTTATAATTTGTTTTCAGTGAATTTTGATAAGAAGTACAAATGGAATAATGAATCAAAGAATATTAATCTTCCACCATCTAGAGTAAGTTCAATTTTTTTTTTAATAAAAAGAAAAATTATTCATACTTGCATATTAATTATTACAATATTATTTTTTTAAATTTCAAATAATTTAAACAAGAATTTAGTCAATTGTTGGGTTATGAACAACACACGGCCTTTTAAACCAAATAGCACAAATAGCGTGTCCAATATCAGGCAGCATAATAGGCAGTAAGATAATTTTATTTTATTGGTTTAGTACTTTATTCATTTTTGTAAATAAATACAATTTTAGTGTAAAATGAAAATTATAAATCATCATGAATAAGTTTTTTAACTAATGTTTATTTGATAAGTAGACCAATGGCTTGTCAAAGAATGCAGTCAACTTCTTTTCAAAAGAGTGTACAAACTGCAAGACAGTTCACTCAACGTATTTCAAATTCAGTTCAACAACAAAGAAATTTCATGAATAATCAATCAGTACTACGAGAAGTAATTGTTATTTTATATATACAACATACTTTATTTTTTAGTTTATTTTAACTCATTTTATAATATTTATTACTTATAGTACTGGTTGTTTATAGTGAACATTTATAAAAATTTAAAATAAAGTACATTCTAAAACTTTGCTCCTTTATTTTAAAAAATTCCTCTTTTGAGAAAATTAACCAATTTATTACTGTTTTATCCATATGCTCATAGATCATCTTTATATATATAATTTTTTTTTTTATCTACTCTATTATTTCTATTTTTAATATCTACTATAGAAACTAATCATTTGAAATTGTAATTTCATTATTATGTCAATTTATTAGGTATGTTTCTTTATAATGAAAATACTTTAAATGCAAACATCTATTAATATGTATCCTATATATTTAACTTCAAAAAATTACATATTATTTTTTATTAATAAGCATTAGATCAAAACATAAATTAATATAAATGAATAATCAAATTAAAAAAGAAAAAAATCATTATCCTTAGCCTATCATTAGCCTATAATATTTTCTAACATGATAACAATTTCATGTACTTATCGCTATTGTTAAGAACACTAGGACAGTGCATCAGAAAAAAGTACATCTGGTCATCATAAATCTACTATTCACAACATATCAGTTAGCATGATTTCAATTAATGATGTGCCAATATGATTTTTTCTGATATCCAATAAACCAATATAAAACTGAAAATCAATGTCCAAAAATTGTTAGCCCTATAATTGGTTAAAAATTCGTTATCCAATATTGAACAATATTCATTATTATTAAACATTTATTTTTCAAGAAATATGTTGGCTTATGAAATGATCAATATTGATTACTTATTAGAGATAAATATCAAATGCATAATGTTTTAGATTTAATTAAAATATGATGGTATATGCAGTTAGAAACATTTTTTTCATACTCCAAAGATACTTTTTAATTTTAATAAAATAATAATTATTGATATCTTTTAAATGTAAGTATATATTTTATTGTATTTTATTTATGTTATAGCAAGTAACAACCATGACTACAACAACTACAGTTCGACAAATTGTTCAGAAAAATCAAGTCCATCTTCCCGGTAATTCTATAACTAATAATGGTAACAAACCTGAACTTATAGAACTGGATTAGTATTTAATGATATAAATACAGTAATTACATTATATTATAATATTTTTATTTTCATTGTTAGATCTGGAAAATATTATTGTACTATCAGATTTTTCTGAAAATTTGTCTAAATTAAACATTATATTTTGAATTGTAATAATATAAATTATTGAATTAAACTAAGAGGTTTATTATTTTAGTCTATTCAATATCAGTAATTTTTTTGTGATTGTAAGTTTTTTAAACTAAGATCTATATTAAAGAACTATTTTAATCATATATTTTTTTCTTCTATTTGAATAATAATGATAAAAACTATTTGATATTGTGTATAACAGTATGTATATTTGTAAATATATTGTTGAAAAATACATGTTTTAAAGAACAAGAAAGTTACTTTGAATTTTAAATTTTTTTAGTGTCTAGTGAGTAAAAATGTTGTCTTATTCCATTCGGCTTATCTAAATTTGAAATATTTAAAACTAATTAAGTTCCTGTTAGAAATTTAATTTTATACATCAAAACTTTGATTCTTTATGAAGTTAAAAATGTATGTTGTAGTATCAAAATAATTAACAAATATGTATTATAAGTTATAACCATTGTTGTTTAATACCGATGTCTATTTAATAACACTATAATAATTTAGAATCAAATAAAATTGTTTTCTAAAGTATTGATTTTTAAAATATCACTCATTAATCCTGAATTTTGAATTATGGCCTTACAAGAAATAGGTTGAATCAACAAAAATTCAGTCATTTGAAACAAGTCATTTTTTTTAATTATTTTAATATAAAATATTCCTAGCCTATGGCTATCTATATCTATGGGTAATACAAAATACAATATTATAAGTTTGTGACTAATGACTATTTTAACAATATGATCATAAATATAAATGTACTATTATGCATGTGATTTATTTAAATATTTAAAAGATTATAGAACAAACAATAAAAATAAAACACGAAAAATGATTAACGATTTATGAATAGAATTTAACTAATGAAAAGATCGTGGAGCGACTGTGTTTTAAACGTTGTCGGAATGACAGATGAACATGAAGGTTGTAATGTAGGCGAGCCTGTTGATTTGAGTATTGAATAAATTATGAACATTTTTTTGAAAGGGAGCGTATGTAGTCTTCAATTTTATTGATTCGGAGGTCTTTATGTACATTTTAATTGCGTATGAACTACGGATTATATCTTGTAATAGTTCTTAAAAATTTATTTTGAAATATTAGAATTTTTCAACCAAAAATTTTCCTCAGATTGCACATGCGTAAATATTAATGGAAGTAGTAGCAGCTTGTGTATTGAGATTGAATATTTTTATGAATGAATCATTTTTTGTTTATTATTTGAAATAACATCAATCGCAGCAATTAAAAGTAGGTAATAAGTTTTTAGAGATACCATTTTATAATGTGTGATTTATTTGTAATATATGTTTATTAAAATATATGAAAATTGGAAAATAAGTAGGTATTTAGTATTTTAGTAAGTAAAAAATTACTGACACATATTACCTATATTTTATAAATAATAAAATAGCAATGTTGTACTCATTTCTGCACTCAATCGTGTCATATTTTGATATTTCTTGGATCCAATTGTTTGATTTCACTATGCTTATGCAGGTCATGAAAAAAATAAACTGTGCTCAATCAAGTTGTGGCCATTTAAAAAATATATTACTCCTAATAATTACAAGAAATAATTTTATTATTGACAAGATCATAAATAATGTAAGCAATTAAGGGATTAATGTGACAATACTTAATTAATTGAATTATCAAATACAACCGAGTTATTAAATGTTTGGTTATGTAAATAATAATTTTGGACTTTCTTAATTTTTTATTTATTGTGGATCGGTAGGGAATAAGGATTTAATCATATTTCTGCGTTTACCGATCCATATTCCCAAATTGGACGTAGGTACACGCAAGAGCACAGAGTACAGAAAAAAACTTTCCAACACGAGAGGGTCATTGAATTCTTTGGAATTTTCTGTGAGTACATATTATAAATTCTAGCATTCGCATTGTTCTGTGTTACAACTTAGGTACAAGTTAAATAGAGACACCTGTGCCTGGAGAAGCACAGATAGTTTGAAAAAGAGTCTAGGTCGTTAACATTTTAATCTATTTTCAGAGTTCTTTGATTTATCATGTAATTAAATTTAATGGGCTGTCTGCCACGAGAAAACGTAATTCAAAGACACTTATCAATATTTCGTATTTCGTGAAAGATAATTTGCCACACACCGACCGTTAAGATTAAAGCTAAAGCCAGCTGTAGATTTAAAGAGTCATTATAATCCCGGCGTACAATTATTTTAAATTGTCAGAAAATAAAAAATACCGACACTGGACAATGGCTAAAAACAAATTTCACGTATAAAATATAATTGAAAAATAAACAGTGAGGGTGGGTTGCATAAAAGCGATTTACAGCCTACCTACGTTTAATGGATTAAGTTGGAACGACCGATAATATTAGTGTGTTGTATTACCGACTTTGTAAATTAGGATAACGTAACTGCAGCCACGAAGTGATTGATCCGAATTAACTGTCTACTATTATTCCGAATATTTGTACCGACTTTCGAATGTATGATAGTGGAATAATACTGAAAGATCGTTACATTTATTCTAAAAACGATAAAAGCTCGATTTTAGACTAGTATTTAGCCGTTTAGGGTAAGTATTACAGAACTCTACGTCTCTAGTCTCTACTACACTTATAAGCCTTCGAGATTTACTAAAGGGCAACTGGGCAACAGTTTTAAAATGCTCATAACTCGCTCTGTAATTAAAACATCAATAAAATCCTCCGCGACACTCTAGATAATAACGTTACTTTTAAATTTTATAAAAGGCTTATTCGCTCTAATTTTAAAAACAACATAGTAAAATGAATTATTCTAAACGTGAAATTTGCCATATTATTTACATTGTACGTTGGCAAGACGGAGACAACACATCACGAGGGTTTATTTCTGATATATCTGAATATTAAACATGTATCAATGTTCGGAGTTGGCGATCTATAAAAAAATGTCAAGCCTGCAGGTAAAACAGTAATCGGTTGTTTTAGTCCTAAACGTCCTACACACGTGTAATCTGGTCGGTTGACAGGATAATTTGGTCAGATCGTATTTCAGGTAAGATTACGTGTAGACGTGTCATCTGCAGATTAAAGTCTTGTCGGGTGACCGCGCTATCTGACCGACCGACCAACTGATTAAATCGGATTGTGTGTAGCGTTTCCGGGCGGATTTTGCTCACCCGTCTCGGGCCTTTCGACATTGATGCGACAGGCAACGCGTTTATAATGTAGTTTGCAATGGCTGTACGTCAGCTTTATGACTGTAATGCAAAGTGCGAAATCGTCGTGCGGAATTTATAGAGTTGTCCGAAGACTTCACTCGTGTATGGGATATTTCCTGTAAAAATTAAAATAACCGGTATGCCAGAAATCGAGAAATCGAAGTCTTGAAAGAAAAATTAAAAATAATTGACATCATATGGCTAAATTTTACCGGAGTTATCGGAGTTTTCCAAGTTTGTCCCGAAATTATCCTTGTTAGTTGTCACGAATGCGTCCGGGATAAGGTTGTATTACTCGAGTGCGCACACAAGAAATGGTCATATTTTTAACGTAGTCCGAGCGTGCAGTCTCAGATTATTTAGAGTTACCTAGGGCCTAGGGCGCACCGCGAAAAATGAATTGGCTACACCACAAAAATATTTCGATATTATTATTTAATTAATTGTCTTTGTTTAGATACATTCTTTTTTAAACTTTGGGTAAGTGTATTAATTGTTATAAGTTTTCTGTTAAATACGATTGTTTTTTATATTATTGTATCTTGTTTAACTCTAACGATTGAATATAATTTGTTGATGAGACTAGAGAAGCCCTTGGTCTATGACGACAGCCACGGTCCCTTCAACAACACCGGACGATTGAACCGTGGTTGATTTCGTGGTCGCGTTCGGGTTTGCCACAAACCAGCTGTCGTGCTCGCGGTGGCCTTAATAATTTGTGGTGACTTATCGCTTTTTGCATGAACCGTTCCTTATGTTTCGTATTCAGTTTCGTTTTTTGGTAGCGAGGTAAAGGAGAGGAGCAAAGTCGGAGCCATTTGTAATGACAGAAAACTAACATTCGGTCAGCCATACGGAGATGTTTTGGGTCTCTACTGTTTCCAGACAGCCAACGGGAGCGAACGACTGCGGACCGTCCAAACGTTTGAGTAACATCAAATAAAATTTATATTGAGAGGTATAAGTACCTATACAGATTATTTATTTAATTACTTCACACCTAGCAGTTAACTTTTATTAGATTTTAAGCACTAGTGTCGTGAGCGATCTACTTTGGTGTACTTTTGATCTACTAACTCTTTTTTGGCGATCTATACCGCCAATCTAACTACGATAATAACACGTTTAACATATATATATATATATATATTATCATCCATGAATAATTATGAGAAATGCAGAAATATAGGGACCATCCTGCTGTCGCAGTTGTAAATGAAAAGCACACGTAACTTTGATTTAGCCATAAAACTGTCAAAGCCAGATTAAAATTTGTAAATGTTCACAAACTAAGACTCACGATAGTGGTGTAACGTACTCTCTTCACCGACTTCTGGTGGTCTTGCGTTCGCCATACCGATAGAGTTATGTTTTTATTAACGAGGTCTCGAGAACTCGACCTCGGTGTGTAATATTAATGTTACGGTCAAAAGCCGAAATCGGGCAAACCTCAGAAATGCCCGGGCAAAACGCGAATTGCCCACAATCCTTGGGCAAAATGTCATACGACTGTAGCGTTTTAAATAACCACTAATATTAAATACAAAAAAATAATAATCATAAAATATTGTACAGATAT